ATATTATTGTGAAATTGTAAATCGGCCCATCCCATTTTTATTTTAATGCTTTGAAATTGTCAGTATATAGTGTCAGTAGGTTATGTTATTATGTATTCTGAATTAGTCTCAAAAGCAGTGACACATGCATGCAATATATATGGAGTCTCAAATTTAGTTGACAGAGGCAGTGAAATAAATGTGTGTGGGGATTGTATCTTAATAACAGAAAATGTAAAATCATATCCTGTGCATGTCATATCAAGTTTAAATTCATGAAAGTAGACTAGGTCAAAGGTTATGAACCTGCTGTTTGTATTTATTGTTGAAAGCTCAAATTAATGCAATGAAATGGATGTCCTTTAAATATTGTTTTGATTCTGATTTAAGTAAGATAATCTTGAAAAAAAAGAAGTTTGAAGATATAAAGATTGAAAAGGACTTAGTCAGATATTCATGTTTAAATAAGAGATGAATCAGTGTAATGTGCACTTGGTATGCATATTAATAATAAAAGCTTGTCTTTGACATGTGTAGAGCCTGTATATATTACTTTATGTCCTTTGTTTTCTTTGGCCAGGTTCATCTGTCACAAAGGAACCAGAACCACTGATATGTTTGTTTGTTTTGTTTTATTTCCACTTTTTCATATCAATACAAAGAAACATACAAATAAATATAATGAATAACATGTAAGTTTGACAAAATTTGTTTCTAGTTAAAATAAAAGTTTCATACAAAAGGAAAAAGCAGGAGACCACATGTCGTAAGCGTAAATGCTTGAACATGACCGTGGCCTCTGCCGAGTTAACAAAATAAAAGAACAACCCATGCAACTGCATTGTATTCAATGTTAAATAAGATATAAGTGAAGTGATTAAAAGTGAGCATGGCTGAATTAATTTTGAGTGAAAATAACAAAACAAATTTAGTGAAATATTTCATGTTGAGAAGTGCATTTGTGCAAGGTGCAAAAATTAGCTTGGTGGAACAAAAAAGAGACTAATACCGTGATATTAATTGTGTGTTGGTTTCAGTTACGGGTGATAATATTAAATGTTTGTCAAGATATCATGCTCGGAGCAACACAGTGGCTTTGACCCACATCCAACCATCTCATGTCGGACCATCCTGATAAGATAATTCATACCCCCTTGTGTGTGTCTATTGTGTATTCTTGACAGCTAGTGTGTGCATTTGTTGCTTATGTGTTTGTAAATACATGAGGGTGGGTGGGTGTGTGTGTTTATAGAGAGAGAGAGAGAGAGAGAGAGCGAGAGAGAGAAAGAGAGAGAGAGAGAAAGATAGTGTTTGTATGTATAGCCTATGTGTGAAATTGGAATATTAGTGTGTGTACTGTAAGTGAACTCTTTGAGAAAAAAAATCCTCAGTGTAAAACTATATAAACCAAGCACCAGAATAACCAGAAATGTTCAAAAACAAACAGACCCCCCCCTTCCCCCAATAAAAATCCCCTCGCACCACAGCTAGCTCACATACATTTTGTACACCTAAATGGCCAGCAAAACTGAAGTCCACGCGCATGCGTAATACATATACTAGGTACTGCCGCTCAGCCACAGTGCTGTGAACTCAGCTCGTGAATATTCATAACGCGTATACCTCTGAACCAATCAGGAGGCAGGATTTTACTCTCATAGGTAAACCCGTTTGGGAAAAAAAATTCGCCGCCGGCATAGGGGGGGGGGGGGGGGGGGGGGGGGGGGGGGGGAAGCAAAAAAAGAAAATAGGCAACATTTGTGGTTACCTCCTTATTTTTAATTTTTTTTTTTGGCAGGGCTCGGGGCCAATTAGATACATATATATATATATATATATATACATCTAGCTAGGTTTACGAAAGGTCCTTGGTTTACGGTCAGCTGGGATGACGATCGTAGTCAATAATTTATAAATAATAAAACCTAACTTTTATAATATCTATTTTTCGGAATTTCATTGAAATTGGGGTGGGTGTGCATCTAAAACAAAAGAGAGAAGGTCATAGATCATTAGAGAGTGGGAGAGAGAAAAACTGAGTGAGAGAGGAATTGGAGAGAAAAAGGATGCAAGAGATGATGGATGTTGAAAGATGAGGTGGTGAAATTATAATTTTATCCTTTTGTAAATATATATGAGAAGTTAAAATATTTCTTAATTCCTTTTTAAATGGTCCGTATGTTCCAATACACATGGCATAGCTCTTTAACAACGACATAAAATAATCACAGATTTATTATGACATCCCCCCCCCCCCCACAAGTATGTCCCGAGTGGCGCTCTCAGAACAAAGGCGCGTAACAAAGTTAAATACATGAATATACGCGGTGTTTTGGAACTTTGGTGTTGATTGACATGACGCCTCATTTTAGATAGACAATCAGCCTATACAGTGCGTCCCAAAAAACACTAAACCGAGAATTGCCAATGTTTTATCATAACTTAATCATAATTAACATTAATAAATGAAACATATTTGTAGATCAGTGTAGGTCCACGATTAGAGAGAGAGAGAGATAACAAAACAAAAATTGGGGGGGGGGGGGGGACAAACATCCATAGAGAGAGAGAGAGGAAGATAAGAAAGGAGACATTGGTGATTCGAGATAGATTATCAAGAGAGAGAGATTAAAGGTGTAGTACCCAAATTACTGCCCACCTACCTGACCCATGCCCTGACCAGGGCAAGGAAGTGGTTGAATTGTTATGCATGTTCCTTCTAATGATGTCGCTTGAATCCACATTGTCTTTGAAGAAATGATTCACCTACCTGAATAAATGTATACTGCGTCACTTCATCATCAGCCCATCACATCATCATCACCATCATCATGTTAGTATCAACATCATCATTATTTTTAAATGCGCAAATCTGATTTGTTGAATGAAACGCTTACAAAAAAGATATTAAAATAAAGCGTCTTTACTTACAATCGATTGCAACTATTTGTGCTATTTGTGCTATCATCACCATCGCTTTTCTTTATCATCATCGCGGCGAATATGCCAACTATCACATATTCATGAGCTAGAAAAAATATTGATCTCCGTAACATACATCTGCTTTTCAGGACTAATAGTTTGTATTGGATATTGCTACATTGATAGCAAAGTATTCATAATTGCATGCATATCATTATATTGGTATTGTATATGGGATATAATGTACAAACTGTACATCCAAATGAAGACTAAAGGATGACGAGGATGGTGTGCGATTCTGGTGAGGAACCAAAGGAGAAGAGGGCATAGACTGTAAAATTTATACAGAACTTGGTGGAAACAGGTAGGTAATTGATATTGTTCTCGAAGTATTCGTCATAAAAATACATTCACTACTAATCGTAGTCGTAAATATTGGCTTGATTGAGGCAGTGAGGGGTCTTAGCCTTGGTTATCACACCCCTAGGAATCACGGGCGGTTCGTGGCTTGACGTTTCTTGGTTGGAGTGGCAGGTAGTGTCTTGATGCAGGGGGAGGATAATGATTAATTGTCTGCAAGAGGTAACTTGTGGAAAAACTTACGTATGATTGGGCGGGCGGGGGGATTGGGGTAGCAGTAGTGTCTCAGGATAATGATTAATTATATGCTACCGGTAGCTTGTGAAAAAAACTTACTTACGTATTGATTGCAAGACAATAAAGCCATAAACACCCTCGTATATATATATATATATACATATTTAACAGATAAGAGAAATTAAAAACGAAAAACAAATATGTGGCTTATAAAGGGCCATAGATCATTGTGGAAGTAGACTACCGGTACTAGTATTCCTCACTTCATACCTAATTTATGCATAGTTTTATTAGTTAAAAACAAAACGGGATTTTAAATCAGAACAAAGCATGCATAAAAAAGTAGTAGAGCCTACAAACACCAGTCATTTTTCAGAAAATCCGTTGTGAAAAACAAGGAAAGAACTCGAAATAGCATTAATTATTTTTGAGACTGAATATCATCATAATAATCAAGTGACAAAGAAACAAGATAAAATGAACACCAGCAAGCTAAACTGAAAACACGAGCAATGCTCGAAATGCGTCTGAAAAGCATGCAGGGCAACAAAATAAAAACGTGTCAAACTATAACTGCAACAACAATTATAACAACACCAACAACAGCGAGGCCGTAGCGCTGACGGTCTACACCGCCATAGATCTCCCGTTCCGCCCACGTCAATTTGCCTATTACGCTCGGCTAGCTCCTCCCCTTCTATAAAGCTGTTGCTATGCGGAAATAGCGTTCCGCTAGCTACTGTGCGACGTGCTGGTAAAAAAATGTGACATAAAAAGACAGATATTGGAGGCATTTCCGCTGAAAAATTAACCAGGTTTTGAGGGATATATCTCGGGAATGAAGCAATTGTAAGTCATGAAAATTGACATATATCATTTGGATGGACATTTCTGAATATTTGTGTTTAAAAATAGTGAATTCACAGGAAAATCGCTAAGTTAAAAAGATCGTTCTTCGTGATTGTATTCGACCACGTTGTGAGCAAGTTTCCCACGCTGCTATACACTGCTCTCTAAATATTCTTTGATATTGCCGACTTGTTGTGGCTTCTTGTAAAGAGACGTACGTCTCTGCGAAATTTACCAGACCCTGTTTGCTTTCAACTGTAATGTTTGGGACATTCCTGGCGCACTCGAAAAATTCCATACCCGTTAATGAACTTCCTAACGGGTATGGGACATTTAACGGCAAGGGGACATTTAACGGCAAGGGGACATTTAACGGCAAGGGGACATTTAACGGCAAGGAGACATTTAACGGCAAGGGGATATTTAACGGCAACTACAGAACCGACCCGTTAGTAACGCGTTATTTATAGCGTTAACGTTAAACGCGTTAAATCGTATAGTTTATTTTGACTCATACTGTATGTGCAGCATATGTGATTTCCATCAAGAATGACTCCATTTCTTTATTTGTTGATCATTTCAAAAAGTTTCTTTCACAATTTAATCGTTCGACCAGTGCTCAATTCTATCTACCGGTATATTGGAAAACTTACCAGTGGTGTTGGTAGTTCAGCTGAATGCCTCGAAGCAAGAAATTGAGCTTGTGCTTCATCTCTGCCTTTTCTGCCTCTTCACCTCCAGCCTTGTAGCTCTTTGTGCAGACCTTCTTACATGTGTTGTTATGACCAAAGGTGAAGTTATACGGTGAGGAGGTGATACGCTCCCCAAAGACCACCTGACCCAGGTTCTCCGATGGGGAGTACTCTTGCTTGGTCTGGCAGAAGTCGTATCTGATAATGACAATATTGTGCAGCACAAATATAAACTTGGGACACATCAAACAAAAAGGTCTTGCAATTTGCATTAAGTGTGAATTCACACAAGTGTGGAGTTGTACAACGCATGCTCTGCCTTCAATATCCTACACTATCCTACACTACCGGTACACAAAACTTTGAATCACAAAGGGATAGATGCTGTACATGCTCTTGAACGACCATCCAAGGTTCTCCAGAACTACTGTAGAGACTACTGTTGCTTGATCTGGCAGAAGAAGCCAAATGTAGACTTTAAAGGGGGGTGGGGGACTTCAACAAATATCAATTAATATATAATCTTTTTGGTGATTGACCCCCTCTTAAAAGTTAAACTATGATATATATTGGTCAGTAGGTTTGAATGTAGGTTTGAATATACGTTCATGTAGATGTATTTAGCTGTTGGACTTTAGACGAAAGGGGAGAACAGTACATGAAGTAATTATCAAAACAATCACATGGATCTCAATTTTTGCAGCTCACTTATAATGTTTTCTCCTCCAAGTGGGAGTATTGTGGCCGAGTGGTATAAGCACTTGACTGGAGATGCGAAAGGCAAGGGTTTGAATCCAGACATGGCACTAATATCCTTTGGCAAGATATCAACCTGCACTTGCTACTCTCCACCCAGGTGTTAAACGGGTACCCGGTAGGATGCGATCATCATGGTTGGTCAAACATTTTTTTAGCGTCAAGTAATGCCTGGCTGCAATGCTCCCCAGGGAGTGGAAATTGAGCACACAAATACTCTGCCAACTTCGGTATTCATTTGAAGCTTTTGGCCAAGTGTTTTTGTAACCATTTAGAAGTTTAAGACAGCTCCCTAACAGACAATAATTATACGGGCCTTGATTGGTTTTCATACTTAGTCATCACAAGCTTTGAACAACAATTTAATGTCGGGGCTTAAATTAATCCAAGGCCACCAAGACCATGGCCGTGGATGCCTTTTTGATTGGCCCCAATGCCCCTCTCATTGGCCTTGGAGATTTGTTGTGCCCTTACCAATTCTTCCTATTTGTGAGGTAATATAGGAATGTGCCCTACAGAAAAGTGGCCTTGCCCTAAAAATATTGAAATTTAAGGCCTGTAATGTTAATTGTGCATTATTTTTGATGGATTATACATGTACATGTATGTATTGTCACAATGCTTATTGATCAGTAAGTATTTTGCCTTAAAGTCAGCATGCTAGAGTAAAATGCTTAATGCTAAGATGTACATGAAAATGCGATGAGTTAAGACATTACACTTAGCCAACAGTTACATGTACGTAAAACACTGGCTTAATACATGTAGGTGTTGTACTGAATCTAATACCACTCATGATGTCTAACTGGCTTGCTGCAATAACCCTCTAAAAATGATCATTTTGAGTTGAGTCACCTCTTGCCCATAGTTTCAACCAGAACCTCTCAAGACAGTGTAAATTTGTATACTAGTAAAAGGGTACCTGTACAATGTAGAAAACCTGCCCACATAAATCAACATACCTACATGTAAGCTATTTCATGTACTGGGTAAATATGCAAATACAAAATCATATGTACCTGACTGTGCGAGCAATAAGGTTGAGATTAAAGTGGGCATACACACAGATGCATTTTTAACTACAGGTGTAGTTTGTTTACAAATACAATGATGGGCAAGTGGAATCACATGTATCCGTAGCAACCCACAGCACCAAGCACATCCATACTAACCTGTCATATTCATAAGGGATGACATTTTCCACAGAGTCTAACCGGTTGACAAACAGATTGATGTCACTCTAAAAAGAAAAAGAAATGGAAGAAATAACGATAAGAGGATTTTACTTCATTAATACTACATGTACATTGTACAGGTACATCTGTTTGATGCACATTTCTTCTTTTACATGTACATGTACATGTACATAACAGGTTAAATATTAAGTTGAATGCCGGTATTATAGCAAACAGGAGGGTTGATAAAATGAGCAAGTTTGATAAATGAACATACAGTTACTGAACAACTAAATTATTTATACTCTTACCAAGTTTTATAACATTTTAGGTACCTTGATTTATATGTTTCTTGACAATAGTTATTCTAAAATATTCAACAAAGACCGTAATTCAACTCCCGGTAGTCCACCTTTTATTCTTGAGTAACGAAAAGCACAAACTACAGTGTACATCAAATTTACAAGGGGTATGATTAATTCAGTTGTTATAATACATGTACAAATAGGCCTGTAACCAATCATCGGAACGGGGGCCGATCTTGAGCCAATCAGGTGAGATCGGATAATAATTTCCGATCACCAAATTTTTTTCAAGTTTTGGGCTATCAAATGCTGTAAAAAAAAATGCATAGCTGGGATTATTTTGTCATTTGGAGTTGTTGTAGAACATGTTTGTTGATATTTAGTGCCTTTTCATTTATTTATTTATTTATTTACTAGTCTGTTTTTAGTAGGGTGGCTCCATCAGTATTTAAATACTGTTTTCCGTGGAGGCCCTACAACATAAATACAAAATTTACAAACATATTGATGTAAACAATCCAAATCGAAACAATATGAATTCAGTTACAACATTTTCAAACAAAAGAAAAGAAATAAAAACAACACAATGGACCAGTTTACTGATTTAAATTATTATAACGCCAAAACAAAAGAGTAAATGAAGAATTTGATGGCACATTTCTTAAAAAATTAGGTAAACTATTAAAAAAAAGCCGCACCATCAAATGAAAAACTTTGTTTTCCCATCTGGGTTTTTAATTTGGGTAAAATTAATCCTGCGTTCATGGCTTTGAAATTAATAATATTAGAGAAAAGAGGCAAAACATGCGGGCCGCCATGTTGGATTATAATGATTAATGCAAGAAGACACCCAACTACGAGAAGGAAGAAAATGAAATTGAACTGGAAGCCCGACTGCTGAGAACACAGCATTCTTCCAGAATCTCGGGTAAAGGTATCTTATCAACCTTATTTTTTCGGAGTATTTTTCCTAAAAATGAAGAAGTTATAATGTGCACTTTGTCATGGGATTCATGGCAAACTGCAGCACAATAATTGCATACCGGTGGGGTGCGGGCGCGCGCGTGTGTTCAGTTAGCGACTGTAATCTTGGTTTACAGTCGCTAATTAAAGACGCGCGCGCCCGCACCACCGTCGGTACGGGCAATTGTATTGTGCTGCAGTTTGCCATGAATCCCGTGACAAAGTGCACATTATAACTTCTTCATTTTTAGGAAAAATACTCCGAAAAAGATTTAAAAAAATTGACACAAAACCCGTAACAACATAGGCCTAGGCCCTAGGCCTATTGACTTTTAAATCATGACCTTTATTTGGACATTTGACGCATATTTAGATCTACTTCCTTTTTGGGTAGATCTATGTTTTAGTAGGGTATCTCCACGCCAGCGTTACCAGTAGGGGCGCTGGTCCGAGAATGAGGATCGTCCTCATAAACAAGGATATCCTCATAAACGAAGACAAAATGTGTCCTCAAAAATAAGGGTCGTCTGCATTTTCGAGGACGTTTTTTTTCATCGGCGCTCTGGGGGTTTCATGTTACAGAACGGCCCGCTGGCGATGCCAAAAATGGATTCCCCAGGGGAAAATAACCCTAGTTGTCCGTCTACTTTTATGGGTTGTCCGTCTTCCCAAGGATTTATTGCTCATAAATAATGTGAAGGTCTCTGTACAAAGTCAATGTAAATTGCATCAAGAAAATCATTGCAGAATCCGTTTTTTGCATCGCCAATGCGCCGATCAAAAATATGAAACGTCTGCAAAAATGCAGACGGTCCTTATTTTTGAGGACGCATTGGTCAGTGTTAAAGAAGACGATCCTCGTTTATGAAGACGATCCTTATTCTCGGACCAGCGCCCCTACTGGTTACGGGTCAAATTTTGGCTAGACTTCTGAACTAGCGCCAATTCTTTCTAGAGTCTATCTGATTATAAATCTCATCTCAGACAAATTAGCAGTAGACTTTTTCTAGTCTTGATTCTACAACGTTACTGTTATTGTTAGATGGCCTAGATCTAAGTAGGCCTAAGTAGACTGTAATATATCACTTATCACTATCAGTCATGTCCTTCATAATCACCTTGCAAAATGAAGGGTCTTCTTCGTGGGCTTTCTGAACTTCCGGAGCGCAAAAGCTAACCGGCGCAAGTCCTGGCAAATAAAATGCTTCAACATGGGTAGCCAGAATGAAGCAGCAAACCAGTAAGATTGATAACATTGTTCTCGTCATGGTGATACACTTATGATTTCAAAATTTCAAAAGAGAAGCCACAAATCTGCTTCACAACGTCAGTGTCCACTGCGGAAGCCACGTTGACAATAAATACAAGACAGTTAGTCAGATCTGCATCTGCGCCGTAATTATTCGCTCAAACGTAACATTGTGCAAACACATATCTAGCTGTATGTAAAGGTACGGGCGATACACTAGACCTAGCTTGATTGATCGGCCTGCGTGCCCTAGACAGATCGTCCGCGTGACATTTCGTATATGTATAGTCACGGGATCGAGTTGTCATTGGCGGGCACTGAACTATAGCGCAAGTACATATCTAGGCCTAAATAGCTTGATCTAGGATTAAAAAAAAACCCATGATATTGCAGATTTAACAGTAGGGTAAGCCTGTGAAGCGGACGACTTAGCTCGGTAAGCAATATTTAATGGATTTGATGATATCACAAGTTAATGTTACAAAATTTCCACACGCATTGTCATTATGGGATATATAGGCACTTTTTAATTAAAAAAAAACATAGTTATTGATCCCCCAATAAAAAAATAGGAATATACAACAGCTGTTGTTACCTATCTCAAAAGGAAGCAAGCAAGCAAGCAACAACTACACACACACTGACACACACACACACGCACACAACGGAAAGAAAAGCCATCATATTTGTGCAGGGGCGTAGACAACAGGGGGGGGGGGGGCGGATGAGGGGGATGCATCCCCCCCCACCTCACATGGTGTGGGGGGGGGGGATGGCATGTACAATCATCCCCCCAGGTTTTGGGGAATGATATTTGCTTACTTAATAAGTCATAATGATGATAATAATAGTAATAATAATAATGATAACAATTATAATATTAATAATAATAATAATTATGATGATGATAATAATAATCCTCATCATTATTGTAATTGTGTTTATTGTTATTAGCCGCATTCACACGGTGAAAGCCAATTCAGACGGTAAAAAAAAAGAAAATCTTACAAGTATTTTGTGTTTGGAAACCACAAGATAACCACAAGATTAAACAGGCGCGGATCTACGGGGGGGGGGGGGGGTTTAGGGGGTTTAAACCCCCCCCCTTGGGCGGCCCAAAAAACAAACAAAAAAAAGGGGGGAAAAAAAGAGGAAAAAAAAAAGAAAAAAAGAAAGAAAAGAGAACGCACGCTGGAGAGAAACCCTTTCAAGTGCAAATATTGTGAGAAGATATTCAACTCATCTGGTAACTTAACCAAACACATGATAACTCTCAATATAACTGTGTATTTAACTGTTACTTGATTAAAAAAGACGTTATCATGCACTGCTTTTTATGGTCTCCATTGTGTTAATAGATGCCAGGTAAACATCACTTACGGGGTTCAAATAAACACCCCCCAAAAAAATTGGCTCGCCGCTTTGCGGCTCGTGGACGATGCTCCGCATCGTCATTATTGGTCAACCCCCCCCCCCCTTAGCAAAAAGCTAGATCCGCCCCTGAGTCATCCCCCCAGGTGTACGAACCTGTCTACGCCACTGTATTTGTGTGTTCCTTTCATCGTCACACAGAAGTTCCCTGACAAGCAAATTGGGCCGGGGCCCGGAGTAAAATTAGCTGCAAGGTCACAATAAGGGGGGGGGGGGAAGATTTTTGTTTTGTCTCATATGCATGCAGAGTGGGTATGGTCGTGGAAGCACATGCCCCTTCCCCTCACCTGGCTCCTCCAACGATTCTACACACTATACATCCTATTTCTAACGCTGTGCAGTGAATTAGGCCGGCCCTAATTATATGCAGCTTCTATAAAGCATAATTATGCGATTTTACAATATTCATTGATCGTTAATAATTTATTGTCGCGGTTGAATTAGTCGAGACTAAAATGATGAAATTGTAAATAATAATCTCTTTATGTTGTATAGCTCCCTCTGAGGACTGATATTTTTAAAGTTTAAAACAATGTTTCTTGCTACAATCGACCGAGTTGCTATTCCCGCTTGGAAATTATATATCATAACTGCATAGCCTTTTCTGAGATTTTCATGGTTGCAGCTACCATGGAACGGCCTTGGGCGCTATTTGAAATATTTGAAATTTACCGGATCGAGCACCGGTAAATTTTTTATTATTCAATTTCTCGAAAGCAGAAGTGTTTTAGGGGCTAAATTTTCTCGTGCTTATTATACACCCACAGGGTATCCAAATATATAAAATATTTAAAGAATTACTATCCATCCAATGTTCAAAATTTTCCAAAACTTTGCATTACCTTTAACCATTCTGGGGACTTATTACCTCCAATATTTCTTCCACGTACACTTACCCCCCCCCCCATACATGCATATGCTCCATTTATTCATCATTTTCTTCAAAATTAAGAACTTTTCTTGGCGAGGGAAAGGACTCTTTCCCAAATCTCCATGTTTTATACAACGATATTCTTACAAAATGTTGTGCATTATAACTATAGTCTGGAAACTTGATTTCAATATATTACAAACGTGTCATCAGTAGTATACATTATTCATAATGAATTAATTGAAGTAAGCACTTAAGTTATTTACGTTGGATGGTAAAAAATTGTTTTCCTTTACCGTTTCCATATTGTCTTTGTTTTTTTATTTGGGGGTGGGGGTGGGGGGGGGGGGGCGAATGTTCGTCATAAGGAGGGCAGTTTGTATGTGTACGTGCGTGTGTTTTCAGTGTTCCGATATCCCCTTCAAAGTTTAATACTTGTCTTCTTTTTTTACATTTCTGTGAAGTACAACCTTGAATACCCTCCTTTGTAAAATTGTTTAAAAAATATATATATTGGCAGGGGGAGGGGGGGGGGGGCATCTTTTTTTTAAAGGTAAAATTAACGTTACCATTTTTTTAAAAACTTAATTGTTGGCCAGGGGTGGGGGCCCGGGCCCCCTGGATCCGCCACTGATCAGGACCATGTTTTGCAGGGGTTACAGTGTTGATTCCCCCAAGTTATCGAAGGTGATCGCAGCTGGGGGTAAACCCCTACACCTCCCCCCTCCCCCCTCCCCGTAGATCCGCCCCTGCTAGCCACAGCCGTCGGGCTGCTGCCGATCCCCGCCTGCATGCTCCAATCAGCAGCATAAATACATTATATAGGAAGACATAAAATTGACATGACTGTGACGATAAAAATAAATTGAGAGATTTAAGATATAAATAGCTGAATTTTCATTAACTCTTCATTGTATCCATCTTTAATATATTCTCAGACTTCTTCACTAAGAAAGAAAAACTGAAACCAAAAATATCCGTGTCTGCATAGGAATATTAAGTAAGAGAGAGACCCAGGGGCTATATATCCATTCCCCAAAGCACTGATTTTCGGACAATAATTGAAATAATCTTCGGGCAAATTTTTGTCTAGATCTAAACCTGTAGCTATCCATTGGTACCATATTATGATAAGCATTAATTGCACCTCTTAAACAAATATCTTGAAGATTTCCATATCTTCGGCACTAAAAATTCCCCAAAATGTGGCAGTATTTGACTCGTTGGATCGGTGCATTGTGCATGTATATGATTATCATCAATATCTTTATTTCCAAATACCATAAAACAAGTTTTTTTTAAAAACATTTATTACTAATTAATTGGCTAGATCCATTTGTTTACTTTATCTAATTCTGAGTTCATGATGATTAAGGTTGTTGTGTTTCAAGAATATATTTGTATCATCTGCAAATAAAATAAATTTTGGCACACTGGAACATAAATGCAAATCGTGTAGAGTAAAAAAAGAAGGGGGCTAATATCAAACCTTGTGATACACCACATTTTGAATGTTTCATTTCAGATTCACAAGAGTTAAATACTGTATACTGTTTACGTTCATGTTATAAATAACCGTGCAATAGTTAACGCGGTATATCTCTAATTCCATGAAAAGAAAGTTTTTCTAACAATGTATCATGATCACTTTTAATCAAATGCCCAAGTACCGTCTATTTTCTAAAGCTTCATTTATATTGGGAAATAAGTTAGTACTAATGCAGTCGAGTGTTTTTGTCTAAATCCAAATTGTATTTTTTTTTGTCTAGAAAACACACAATCTTATCATTTAAACATTTTTCAAATATCTTTGCAGAACATGGCAGTTAAGATATTGGCCTATAATTGGAAAATATATTTTTTGTCCGTTTTTGTAAATTGGAACAAGTTTTGAGATCTTGCAACTTTTTGGAACTATGCCCTTTTGAAGAAAAAAAATTCAATATGTATATTTTGGGTTTTGTCGTAAAATAACCATTTCTGGTCTTCTTTATTCCTCATGATAATATATACATCACATTTTCAGCATTTACCTCCATTTCTGGAGGGATATACAAGATTTTCTACATGAAAATCTTCTTCTATCTGTAAACGATAATTTAAGAGTTAAAAATTAATTAAGAATAAAGTCTCTGTTTTGTTCTTTTCTTTTTGAATTCTTTTCGAACAAAGCTTTTGTAAATAGTAAAAAGTGCATACTGTTCAAAATAATATCAACATATCTTTTTTTCTTTGAATTAAATTCAATGCCAAACAATAAATGACATGGTTTGAAATTAAAATTAGACATAAAATATTTCTTTATATTCATTTCAACTTTTTTCCAAAACTTAACTTGTTACAAGAAAAGAACACATGCATGCAATCACCTGGTTGATCATGATAACAATAATAACATTTTTCATTGGCATTTACTTTCCATTTAAAAAAAATATTTGGTATTGCCAAAATATTGCACATGAATTTGAAATTGATCAGTAAACTGTCTTTTAAATATTTCATATATAACGCAATGGTTTACCCAATATAACCTTCTTCAAAACCTTAATGGTCATACGATCATAGCCTGGTGATTCATCATTATCTAAAGCAGAGACGATATCAATGATTGATTTTTCAGTCATTGAGAGTGGGAATACCACCCTTTCATATACCGGTCTGTTTTATACGATATATTACAATTTCAATTTCAATTTCAATTTCAGTTTCAGTTTATTTTCAGTTTCAGTTTATTTTCATATTTCACATGTTGTATAATACATCATTACATTTGGCATGTTACATTTTTGTAATAATTTTTTGGATGCATTTATACAAACGAAAAGAATAATACATAATACTAAGTTAAATAAAGAGAGAAATATGATGGAGCCTAAAGAGAAGGCAATGCTTGTAGGTCATAGGCTCCGGAAATTGATGTATGTTATCAACAAAACATTACAAATCAATTAAAAACATGTACAACAAATGTAGAAATACATATTGGAAACAGAGGGGTCCACTAAAAACAATGCTTGTACAAGTGTGAACACCTCAAATGATACTTAGGAATAATGAGTAGTTAAATAAGTCCGTAACTACAAAAGGAACTACAAAATAGGGGATGCCAAAAGAAACGAGAACGGGACAATTAAGATAGTACTATACATGACGAAGATAGAAGAACACGGTCATAATACAAAGAGTAGACAATGCCAAAAGAGAAGCGAGAGATTGGGGGTACAGAAAATAATACAAAATAATGAGCTGCATGTGGGGTTGAGAAGAAGATAGGGAAAGAGAAATGCACATTAGAAAGAAGATAAGCATGAGAAGGCACAATATAATATATCAAATTACGAGATAAAGTGGCAAGATTTTGACCCAGTTACAAAATAATCATTAAAAGCATTTACTACATTTTCCCCCTCAGTCACCAACTCCTTACCTACTTCAATATCAACATATTCAAAAAATTATTTATCAGTTTCCATGTTTGATTCATACTTCCTTTCACGTTATAAAATTCATTTGAGAGATATTTTTTTTCGCCGACTTTACTGCATTAACATATTTATAAGCAGAATGTCTATAATTGTAGGATGTTTAACAAATTTAATATATAATCTGTTCTCTTTTCTATACATTTTTTTTTCAGCTCCTTTGTATACCCAGGATTATTTTCATTAGAAAACAGTCTTCATATATTTCAGTAAGAGACTCCATAAGTTGATCATAAAGATTGTCTGGATCTTAATTGTTCTTAATTAATCAAAATTATTCAGATTTGTTTCATTAATTAAAAAGGAAAAGAATAATCACACAGTGAAAATGATCAGATAGAACAGCAATTACTGAACCATAGCGTAGTTCACAATTCTTGTTCACAAAAATATGGACAATTTATGATTCAGTAGTGTCTGTAATTCGTGTTGGTGAAAAGAAAGATTGAAAATATTTCTAAAAATTCATTTACATATGTACAAGAGTCAATCTTCTTGAGATCAATGTTTAGGTCTCCCAAAAATATGCACTCTTTCTTTTCGTCATTAACCATTTCTTAAATATTTTAAACACAACATTAACATCATCAACACTTTTTAATACTAGGTGGCCTATACAACACACCAATAATCAAATTCTATCTAGTTTGAGGTATAATACATTTAAATCTAGCCTTACTTTAAATTCAAGTTGATTATGTAAACAAAGACCTACTCCTCCACCTTTCCTATCATTTCGTTTTCATCCTGTAAATTAGTTATCATTAAAAATAACTTCAGAATTATTTTCTATATCTCACCAAGATTTGAAAAAGCTAATATTTAAACTTATGATTTAGCATTTCTAATAACTAACCTATTTCATCACCATTTTTGCAATCTCTGCAATTTTTCATGCAGTGCAGATAATAAGTCTTGTGAATATGTTGGTTCCACAAAGTTCACCTATCAAAAACTGGTTTAGATTACTATTCATTATAATGTGAGTACTTTAAATAGAATATGCAGAGTATAGATGTGATAGCATATGAGGACATCTTGAGCACAATGATAATTATAAAAAACATTGCTTGGTAACATAAATAAAAAAAACATTGCTTGGTCAAAGAGAAGATAGGTACAGAAAAACAAAACATATAGAGCATTAAACACGTCACCTTAAGTACAAAATTAAGAGAAAACATGCCAAATTGAAAGACCAATATTCTAAATAATCTAAATGGAATCATCCAAGTTTCATAACACAACCAATTGAAGAGCAGCATCAATTTTCTGGTTGTAACTTCCCAGATAATAATGGAATACATTACCTGATACAGCAACATCAAATTTAAAAATATTTTACTTTTTTAAAAACTCACATTCAATATTTCAGGACAAATTTGCTCATTTATTTTGTTGTGGTTTTAGTCTGCGGAACTGGGTTTGGGTTTCGCAAGGTTCAGGAGGTCTCGTTCACAGGAGATGAGTTTCGTGTTATGTTTTCTGTCTGTTGCTTTAAGTAAGGCGATACCTCTTCCGTCACTTGTCCAGGCTTGGCCCTCTACAGATGGCGTTTTGAAAGTTTTTCAGAGGATATCAAGTTCTTTCTTTGTCATGTCTTCTGAGATGCTGATGTCAGTTTTTTCAGATGTTTCTTCTTTGAGATCTGATTTGAACACTGAAAATATAAAAATGTCAAATGTTAAGTGGGATAAATGATTTGAGAAATTTGACTGAAAATCATTGATTAAAAGAGGCCCAAAATAAATGAAGGTAGACCGTATGGGGTCATTATTTTTTGCCTTGTGAAATTCATTCCATAATTATGCTGAGAGCTGTCCCCTTAATTCCTTGGTTTTGTACATCAGAGATTCTCTCGAAGGCTCCTAAATCTGCGCCAAAGTACCGCTTCTGGCACAGGAAAGTATCACTGCTTGGACTCACTTGCATAAAAAAGTGGTTATTAAAAAAAAAAATCCCAAATAGTCATGAGTCGTGTTTGAAATCCTTTTTGTCATTGTGACAACATTACAACTTATTCAGTGGGGTACCCTTCTTGCATTTAAAGTACAAGTCCACTTGGAAATTCACTCATGAGTCTGTGACGTCATGTCCTCACTATCGACTAATTGTTTTCTTTATGTTGATAATATAAATTTCCTCTTTTCCCCCTAAGAATCTTATTTCTTCACACCAGCATCCAAGTTAGATTGATAGTAATATGTTTTTGTGTGGATGCACTATTAAATATAGAGTAATTTTTTTTCAGTAAAAAAAATCATGAAAAATATGACGTTTGATGAACTATTTAGATAAAAATCAATAATTATGAATATACAATATTCAGAAAATAGAATCAATTCTTCAAAGTTCATAAAAGATTTTGTGCAATGTCATGAATGCAATATGATACAAGTCATATAAACTGGGCAAAGGCATGGGGAAATTAAGTTTTTGGGGATAAAAAGGGAAATTAATGGGATTAAACTATATAAAGCAATTGATAAATAGTGAGGACATGACGTCACAAACTGATAACCAAATTGGCAATTTGTGTAGTGATTTTCATTGTTCTATAGTTTTAAATACTTTTTCAAAAATTCATAACTTTCTTATTAGATATCCAATTTTGCTCAAACTTTTTTTGATTGGTTTGTCTGATTTTTCTGCTTCTATTGAAAGTAAGTTATTTTTGGAGTGGACTTTGCCTTTAAGGATGATCTGGCATTTGGTGATGGTGATGATGTCATGTAGATGATTCACAGCATTTACATGGCGCAAATATTTGGTTTGGTGGCAATTGCTCCAAACAATAGGGTTAGGTGTAGAATTTGGTGATGGGTTGAAGCTAAGAATTCGGTTCCTGTGGAGCAATTATTGTCGCCGGGACATGTATATCAAAACTGTATTGAATATTGTGATGACTTAACGCAACTCCTATGTACGGGAAGAAGGTTTAAAGTCTTTTTCGTGAATGCAACAAGCGGCCATCGTTAAAGAGGTTGTAATTTGCCTTAAATGAACAATGTTTTTTAATATATTGAATTGAATTGAATTTCTTTATTGTCATGCACAAAATAAAATGAAGGCATGAAAATCGTCTTACAGCTCACATTTGTATAAAATATAACAATACATTAACATATCATAGACAGTAACTACAAATAACATAAATAAGATAACAATGTAATATAATTTAACCTCCCTGTTGAGAGCCAGGGGAATTATTTGATTATTTGTACTCCCCTGGCTCCCAACAGACAATACTAACTTAAATAAATAGCAGAAAATGTACATGACAACAATCAATGTCATATAACATATAAATAGAACAAGTCACAGCAAAGATCTAAAATCAATTATTCATCAATTGTTCAAAATTCCAGATAAAAACTGTTTATTTTGGGAAGTAGACATAAACTAAATGTACATCATACTGGATGGCAGAGAGGAAAAACAAGAGAGAGAACGAGAGAGAGAAAGGGAGAGAGAAAGGGAGAAAGGGAAAGGGGAAAGAGAGAGAGAGTGGAAGAGAGGAACAGTTCAGTGTGAGATGATGCATATACAATTTCATTCAAAACATTGCTTTGTAATAGACATTATTTATATTGCACCTGTGCTTAGTACTGTTACATAATATGAAACACTGCTATGCATGCCAAGAAGTACAAATACAACTGTATGCTAGTACATGTACAGTACATATAGATGGTAGATACACTGTACAGTTGAAAGAAGAAAAATGATGCCAGATAGAAGAGGCTAGCAGAGAGACAAGAAGGAAAGAAGAAGAAAGAAGAAAGAAAGATAAGTGGAGAAAAGGAAAGAGAGGAAAGAAAGGAAAAGGAGGAAAGAAAGGAAAAGGAGGAAAAGTGAAGTGTGAGATATTAAAAATATTGTTGAATTGAATTGAATTGATGAGTCCACATGTCACTTACAAACTACCAACCACCCAACCATAACAGCAGGGAGGACCCCCTCCCCCCTTGACCTTATACAAGCCGACCCATCTTCACCCCCTGTACTTCCAGGATATGAAGAGAGAGAGAGAGAGAGAGAGAGAGAGAGAGAGACCGAGAGACAGACAGAAAGAGAGAGAGAGAGAGAGATATGTAGGATAGAGAGAGAGAGAGAGCAGAAGAAGACAGAGGAGAGAGAGATAGAATGAGAGGGTAGGGGATCGTACTCGGGGGTGTACAGGGTCATTCATCTACAGAAATTGTTGTTAAACACCTTCATTGCACTTGGGAGAAAGGACCTGCCGAACCTATCAGTTCTTATTCTAGGTAACCTAATTCTTCCTGATCTATTGAAAACCACTTCATTATGCAGAGGGTGATTAGAATCCTTCACAATCACTTGCAGTTTATAATGCCCTTAATAATGCCCTTTCTGCAACATCTTCCAGCTCTTTCACAGAGACCCCAATTACTCTGCTGGCATGTTTCACTATCCTATTCAACTTTGCTCTGTTTTTCCCACTGTTAAACCAGGCTAGACAGCAGAAACAGATGACTGACTGTATGACACATTGGTAGAACAGGAACATTGTATCACTTTTCACATGTAATGCTTTCATCTTTCTTAGCAAAGACATACGCTGGTTGCCCTTGCTTAGTATTACCTTGGTATTACTATCCCACTTCAGTTTGTTATCAATTACAACTCCTAAGTATTTGCATTCAGCCACCTGTCGTATGGCTTTCCCATCAATGTACAGGGGCACTTTATTTGTGCCACCATTTTTCCTGTAGTCAAAGATCATTTCATGAGATTTAGTGGCATTTAGAACAAGTGAATTCTCTTCGCTCCAAGAGACAAAATTATCAACTGTATCCCTATATGCAACTTCATCGTTGTTGGTGATCAAGCCAATGAAACAAGTATCATCTGCATACTTTACTACTTGACGAGATGAAGCAGTCGAACAAGAGAAATCACTAGTAAGCAAGGTATAAAGGATGGGCGAGAGCACACATCCTTGCGGAGTGCCTGCGCTAAGTCGTCTAGCTTGGGACATAACATTTCCAAAACGTACTTGCATGCACCCTGTTTGTCATGAAATCCCTTAACCATTGACATAATTTGGGATTCACAACACTGCTTAGTTTTTTCACCAAGGTTCCAGGAACTATCGTATTAAATGCAGAAGAGAAGTCTACAAAGAGCACCCTAGCATATGTACCAGTTCTTTCCAAATGTTTACAAACTGTATGTAGCAGGTAACCAATAGCATCCTCAACACTCCTGTTTGGTTGGTAAGCAAACTGGAGGGGATCTAAAATATCTTTTGTATGTTCAACCAAGATGTTTCTCACAATTTTCTCAAAACATTTCATGACAATAGGAGGTTTTGGAATTTTGGGTACTGGGAAGATTGTAGCCCATTTACAGAAACTAGGAATACTACAAGTATCTAGCGACCATTGAAATAGTACCTGAAACACATCAGCAAGCTGTTGGGAACATGTTTTCAAGCTTTTCCTGACACACCGTCTAGTCCTGTAGCCTTATCAGTTCTAATTGACGCAAAGACTTGTTTGACCTTTTCACCTTTTACAATTATCCTATTATTCACTGGGGTACTCTCGTGTACTTTCTTGCGTACATTCCTGACATTGCAAGTTATCAGTTACTTTATTAAGGCAATCAAAACGACAGTAAAAATCATTTAAATCCTTTACAAAGACAGATACATCATCGTTGAGGCTTACACCTTTACCCCTCCTTCTACTTTCAAAACCAGTTATCAGTTTCAGTCCTTGCCAAGCTGCTTTGGAATTACCTTCCTTAAATTTATTTTCTAACTTACTACAGTACTGGCGCTTCCTATTTACAATGTATTTCCTGAAACTCTTATTTATTGCTTTTACTGAATCTGGGTCATTATTCTTAAAAGCCTCTGCTTTGTTATTTAGAAAGACTTTACACTGCTTGTCTACCCATGGTTTGTTATTTGGATAGATTTTGATCGCTTTCTCTGGCACTATCATATTCTCACAAAATTTGATATAATCAGTCACTACCTCTACAGCTGCTTCGAGAGATGTAGTTTCAAGGAACACTTCCCAGTCCGTCCATTCGAAGCAAGCCTTCAGAGTCTCAGCACTTTCTTCAGACCAGGTTTTCACTTTCTTTATTGTAGGTTCGAACCGTTTCAGCTTTTGCCTATATCGAGATAACAACTGGATGATATTGTGATCCGAGCTCCCTAGTGGAGGCTTTGCCACTGCTTTGTAGCCATCTTGGACATTTCCATAACATTTATCAAGAATATTTGACCCTCTCGTCGAAACATCGATGTACTGATGCAGATGGGGCATGTCGCCGCGAAGATCACAACTGTTGAAATTCCCCATGACAAGTTGGACGGAATCAGGAGATGCAGTTTCGTTTCGTTCAAGAACATTCTGGATCTGGCAGACCTGCCAACCTCTGGAGTTCAAAAACTGTATTCTGTAATCCCAAAAGTTGTATTTTACTGACAAAAGTTGTATTCTTAAAAATAAACACAGACTGTTACAAGGATCAATGCCTCTTAGAGTTCCTACATACAGGAAGAATTTTTTTTAAGGATCATTGGTTGATTATGGATGATTTTGTCACGACTGATGTGTTCGATGAACCAATGAACATCCCTAAATTGCCGATGTGAGATGCTTGTAGGATACTTTGTAAAGGGTTAGGAAATTACCCTGTGACCTGTAGAGGGCGGAGTGCTAAGACAAGCCGGCACTCTTTGCTTGGCCCGCTCACAGGATCTGTCTGTCATTGATTTCGAGTTCTCGACCACCTCACAACTGGCGACGAGGATGGGATTCGAACCCAAGTGGACGGCGGCGTGTGCAACAGCAACATCATCGACGAGGGTGAGAAGACCATGTCCGGAAGACCTCGCACAGAGTCAAGTAGATATGTACGTCAAGAACTTGTATAGTTTTAGAAGGAGTGCTGTTTATTGAATAATAGTCGTGGAACGATAATAGTTAGCCAGGACACATTGAACATAATTTAGCAATGAGTGATAGAGCGACGACGATGTGCATGGCAAGGTGGTGAAAGAACATTGCTTCAAGAACTTGCTTCAAGAACTTACTTTAAGAATGTATTTTAAGTTTTAAGATAGTTGTTTTTATTAAAGATTGATATTGCTACATATAGGTATTGGGGAAAATGTTTTTAACTGAAGTGAGTAGATGTGGTTGGAGAGTATTACTTTTATGGAAAGGTAATTAATTATTCTTGATATTGATGTTATTGGAAATTTGAGAGTCGGTCAAGTTTTGAGAATGTTTAGATTCAATAGATTTATTTTTTTGAAGTCGGTTTGGAACATGTGATAGTACCTTGGTTATTGATATTGAAATCCTTCGGAAGGTGTTATAGTTTAAAGGACTAATTTCTAAGTGAATATATTTCATGATTTAAATCGAAGTTTTTGAGACTAAGATATATATTAGGAAAGTTGTTGTATGCAATTGGAACATAGCTTGTTAATTTTTTTTGTTGATACTCGCCGATATGGCTTTGTACGTTAAGATTGAAGAGGGGGGAAGGAAATTAAAATTTCCTTTGATGGGTACTGATGGGCCCCTTAGCCTAGAAGCATTACAAACCAATTTCCCCAAGGCCAAGGGGCTGGTGTATTTAGACACAGACGGGATGGAGGTAGTTGTACCTGCTATCGGGGGGAAGATCCATCCAATAGGGGAGTGGGGTCATGTCTACCGGCCACTTCTCCAACCTAAAGAGGACAACAGGGATAGTGTCCAAGGACAGTTGGAAAAGTTGCTGTCCCGCCCCCCACTCCAGATTATTATGGCACCTGAAAGAAAGCTGCCCACATTTGGAGGCCGGCCAGGAGAGGTTGCAGATTTTGTGAACTCCATGAGGAGTGCTTTCGCCAAGTACACCATTCCCGACCAACAACAAGGGGCATTCATCCTAGATTATCTCAAAGATGGACCGAAGAAGTCGCTAATTAGAGAGGGGAAAGGCATCGCAGATATCCTCTCGTACATTCAGGACTCGTATGCGGACCATGTCAAGGTGTGGGAGCTCCAACGACTATTCCTGGAGAGGAAGCAGCAAAAAGGAGAAAGCGTCAGAGATTTCGCGTTGGACCTTGAAAACCGTTTTCTCCGCCTCACGAGCTGGAGTGGCCGACTATATTCGGAACCAGAAGCCACCCTAGCTGAGCAGTTTATCGAGGGAATCGGCGACCGATACCTTAGGAACACCCTCCAAAATAGGTATGAGGGGGGAACATCAGTTCAATTCCGGGAACTCAGGGAGGTTGCCATTAGGAGGGAGCAGCGGGAGGAGGCCCGTTTCAAGAGTTCCACACGAACAGTGCACCAGATGGCCCTCCAGTCACAGCTACAAACACAGACGAACCAGCCAGATGTAGTAGAGATGATGCGGGCAGTAAAGGAACTGGCCGATCGAGTCGTCGGAGCAGTTAGCGACCTAGCAACATCGCTGAAACCACCCTTGACTCGCAATGCAGAGAATGTACAATGCTTCAATTGTAGCGGTTGGGGACATTATGCTCGGGAATGTCCACATAAGAGACAAGGACTTCAAGATACCAGGGCTCGTCAAGACAGGGAACAGGGCCCCCAGTATTCAGAGCAATATAGACGTTGGGCACCGAGAGGGGGACCATCTGCACCGCCACCGTTTCCCCATCCCGATGGGTGGGCATCTCATCCTGGGCAACCTTATGGGCAACCACCTGGCGGCTGGGTACAGCAGACCGGACCCTTACCAGTACCTTTGCCCAACCCGGGGGTATGGGTGCCGCCACCAGAAGGACCACCAATTGCCCCATCTTCGATCCCTGTGGAACAGACGCCACGAAACGAAACAGCCCGTCTCAGACAGGAGGGAAGTGTTGCGATATCTGCACGTCAGACAGTGGTGCTTGAAGCACAAAGTACAACTGGAACGAGTGAGGGACCATTTGAAGTGCTTCTAGAGCCAGGAGAATGTAGCGCCTTACCGGTAGGACTAGATATCCAGCCATGTTTCGTTCGGATAGATCAGGAGGCATCCCCCATCGTAATCCGCAATAAGGAAGATGAGATTGTGATCCCAAAGGCTGTCCAACTGGGTGCCCTTTGCGGCAAAGCGTCAGTCGTGCGAGAGATGGAGCAAGATGAACTGTCAGTCGAGAATCATGAGAATCCGGTTGATATGGACTAGACGAGTTTGTATCTTGGAGAACGCACAGATCTAGAGGGTCTTCCGGAGAAACATCGCGAAGTGTTTTCAGCTCGTGGTCAGTATGAGCGCCTGAACCACACTCTGCACAACATGCTGGGATCTCTGCCTGAGAGCAAGAAGCGACGCTGGAATCGTTACCTGCCCTCTTTTGTATATGCCTACAACAGCACTGTCCATGCGAGTACTGGTGTTGAACCCTTATACTTGATGTCAGGGAGAAATGGAAGGCTTCCCCATGGTCTAGTCCTAAGTGGGGAAGGACAACCAGGGCGTCAGAGAAACGTCAAGTCGTATGTCCAGCAACATCAGTCAGAACTGCGAACTGCTAGGCCGATAGCAAGGGCCCCTGATTGAATTTTAGTCATTTTGCTATATATTTTGGTCTTATAGTTTTGATTGATAGCGTTAAAGACGATTATGTTTTTGTTTACAGACAGGAGATGACTTTTTAGCAACAAATTTTATTTTTGGTTTTTGATATTTGCAAAGAAGAAAGATATGCGATAAGATATTGCATACGATTTTTGTATATCATGTACACATGCCTTTTTATGTACTTGTTAAGCTTGTTTTGGGGTCTGGTATGGATCCGTCCAGCATTGGGCCACCCCATTCATTTTTATTGAGGTTCAATTATACTTAATTACCGCTTGTGATCCGTGGTTGACATTCGGACATGAAGCGCTGATTTATAGACATTATGTGCGAATTTAATGGCGATAGATAACATGATTAGTGCATTCCTATTTGAGTTGTAGGTTGGGAGATAACTTTTTGGTGAGACGGTTTATGCTGGGTTTGACGTCTCGACATTAGTAGCAGTCGGTAAATTAGCCATGTTGGGATTTTTATATGTGTTCATATGTATGTATAGTGTATACTGCGTTTGACAAGCTTGCAAAATGACTCTTAAAGGGGACTGCTGTGTAGTGGAAAGATACAGGTAATGGTGCAGTTTAATATAGGTGTTATATCGCCACGTGCTATATTAGTGGCAAGTTTAATTATGTGTTATACGTTTGTTGGTAGTTGATGGCTTGAATATTGTTCCTTCGGTCATCGAGGTCGATGACGTTTTAAGTGGGGAAGGATGTAAAGGGTTAGGAAATTACCCTGTGACCTGTAGAGGGCGGAGTGCTAAGACAAGCCGGCACTCTTTGCTTGGCCCTCTCACAGGATCTGTCTGTCATTGATTTCGAGTTCTCGACCACCTCACACTTTATAGGACAGAATGGGCATTTTGCCGTTGAAAATGGCACACACACCAAATAAAAATTCAAAAATATATATGTAAAAAAATTATTATTAACTCATAGCCTGCCATGAGGCTGCATGCACGCTACCTATTGAGTGCCATGTGCGTGCAAGGGCGCTTTCGTAATAGCAGTTATTGTTCATGTTCATTGGGCTGTGCTGTGTGTTTTGCACTCGCCTTTCATAGAACCATCGCGTTAATCAGATTATCTCCAAAACAACCTGGCACAGTGTGGATTAGCCCTGTGGCACGATAAGAGTTAAAAAAAAAATAAAAAAAAAAAAAATTGTTTTTTGTTTGTTTTGAAAATCCTCCCGTAGACTTTCCAGAGTCTGATGTACGGTCGTTTCTAACACAAGTAAAACCCTCTATTGCAGTGCTACTTTCAGAATCCCTTGGAGAAAACCATGTTTTACTAAAGCACATCATACAACTATCCTGGTATCTGTAGTTTACACATGCCTTCAATTCATCTAGCTTGTTACGCAGAGATCAACAATTTCCCGTCACAATTGATGGAAGAGCAGGCCTAAATTTTCTTTTCCTGAGCCGTGCACGTACATGTACCCCTCCTTTCTTTCCCCGCTTCCTTTTCTTCATTTTTACAGGAATGTCATAATCTTGTCTTACCTTGGAGGCTGTTTCTGATGCTAACGCCATTAATGTATCCTTGGCATAGACGAAAAATGCAATGGCGTGGTAGAGTAGAAACAAGGTCGTTAGAATGAAGTATTCCAGCATACTAGACCAAAATCCAGCCATGGTTGGTGTCACTTTGTTATAATAGTTCACATAATAATAACGTAAGAACAAAAAACTGAAGAAAACCACGAAAATGACGAAAAATTCAACAAAAATGATGAGAAAATATATATATTTTGCTCACAGGATTTTTTCACTTATCAAATTTAGTAATTGTTCTTTGAAATTGTATGGCTATATGAAGGAGAATGTGGTATTCTACCCATTATTTCAAGTAAGAAAACAGTTATTAATAGCTATAGGTAGTGCAAAATTAAATTACAATACCATCTCATGTGAAATTCTTTTCTTTTTATGGTAAACATTACTGTCAATTTCTTGCGGAGAAGATATACTTTTGATCTGGTTGAGTGAGCCATAGATCTTGGTGACAAACAAGAAGCAAGCAAAGAATCCCATGGTACCTGTGAAAGTAAAAAAATAAAAGGAAAGAATTGTAAAGATTGTGGCACATTTCTATATAACAGATTGAAGGGCTAATACAACATTAATGGCACAATGATATGAATGAAAATAGGAGGGGGGGGGGGGTGTAAAGTGTTGTACACTAATTATGATTTATAATAAGAGTCTTCTTGAGGCTGGATTTTGTAGAACTCAAATATGAACAACTTGTTGTATTTATTAGATGTATGTGAAGCCGCATTACAATCTGCGGTAGCAATAATCATGGGCATATGATATAGGTCATTTGTTGAACATACATGTAGATATAAAATGATATCATATCACAATCCCTCTTCTCAATGAAAACTTAATTTCATATTTAGATCCATACTGTTTAAAATATCTTTTTAAAATTCTTTGCTTAAGAAATTAAACTTGTGCTAATATGAACTTACAATTTCGTCCCTTTCTTTGTTTGTTTGTTGTTGTTTTTTTCCAAAAACAATTTGAAAATTCTATCACATTTGTTTTTCATTTGAATGCGAATTGTTTGCTTATTTATCTAAAATGTTTTGATCAGACTTCAGTTATCATCTTGCTTTATAATGCAATAAACTTAATTAATAAACAAAACATGACATATTCAATATGTCTCTTTAAATCTAACTACTCAAAACCTTGTAAACATTGTTAAAGAAAGCAAAAGACAACAATTATTTAAATTATCTCCAACCATATCAATATTTTACATATCGTATCTCTCTGGTTTCTTAATAGTACGACCTGATCTGGTGGTGTATGGTTGGTGGTGATTCGATGGTGTGTCTGGTTTGCTTTGTGTTTGTTCTGTTTGTGCATTCTGCTGGTCGTGTACATCATTTTGTCTATCACTAGCATGTTGACGGTTTTGTTCCATGCTGTCCCTCTCTTGGGTTGGTTTGATGTGCCTACGATTTCGTCGTAGAGTGTAACCTGATGATGTCTCTACTTCATATGACCTTGGTTCTGGTCTCCTGTTTGTGATCTTTCCTCTGTCCCATCTACCAGTCTCTTGATTTTGGATTCTGACTTCTTGTCCTTTGTGTAGTGGGGGAAGGTTGGTAGCGTGCTTGTCGTCAAAGTATTTCTTTTGGTCATCCTGCCTGGTCTGCAGTCTCTGGTAGATGTCATCCTTTTGGGGTGACTGGTTCCGAATCCTGGTCGGTATGTTGGTTTGGATCTTCCTCCCCAGTAACAGCTCTGCTGGAGATGGTAGATGGCTGTCCAATGGAGTGGCTCTCAGGCATTGCAATGCCTTGTTGACGCCTATGTTATCTCTCTTAGCTTTCTTCATGGTGTTCTTGACAGTTTGTACTTGCCTCTCTATAAATCCATTGGATTGTGGATATCTCGGGCTTGAGGTTACATGTTGGAAATTCCAGTCTCTGGCAAACTCTACGAATATGGCACTATTGTATTGAGGTCCATTGTCGCTCATTAGTCTCTCGGGGGTTCCTTGTTCAGAGAAGATTTCCTTAAGCAGTCTGACGACAGCACTACTTGTTGCTTGCTGTGGTAACTGCTTTACAATTGGATACTTTGAGAATACGTCAGCAACAAGAAGGTACTCTCTTCCATCAAGTGTGAAGAGGTCAGTTGTGACAAATTGCCAAGGTCTGACAGGAATTTCATGTGGCTGCAGAGTCTCTGATGGCAGGGAGTTCCCATATTCTTGACATACAGAACATTTCCGTACCATCATCTCGATCTCCTGATTTATGCCATTCCAGAAGATACAGCTCTTTGCTCTCAGTTGGCATTTGATGATGCCTTGATGTCCCTCATGTAGCTTGTTCAGGTATTCCTTTGTCAGGCATTTGGGGATGACAATTCTTGAACCTTTCAGGATAATCCCGTCTTCAATGGACATCTCGTCCCTGTATGGCCAGTATTTGATCAGGCTTTTGTCAAGTTTACGCCTTTCTTCTGGCCATCCCTCTAGGATTACATCTCTCAGGATGCAAAGTTCACAGTCCTCTGATGTTGCGGTGCGGATCTCCAGTAGCTTCTTGTCTGAGAACATTACAAAGTCAACTTTCATGTGCATTTCAGGAGACTCAGGAGGCAGAGGATTGAGTCTTGACATGGCATCAGACAGAAGCATCTCCTTTCCAGGTTTATATTTCACTGTCATGTCATACCCTTGGAGTCTGAGCAGTAGTCTTTGTAGTCTTGGGGGTGCAGCTCCAAGGTTCTTGAGAGTGATCATCTCTAGTGGTTTGTGATCCGAGAGGATAGTGAAACTTCTGCCGAAGACGAACGTGTGAAACTTTTCACATGCGTAGACAACTGCTAGCATCTCTCTCTCAATGTTAGCGTATCGCTGCTCGGTGTCTGTGAGGGACTTTGAGGCAAACGCTATTGGTCTCCCTTCCTGTGTGAGGGCTGCTCCAACGCCTTTCATCGATGCATCTACTTCTAGGACAACAGGTTTCTTTGGATCAAAGTAAGCAAGTGTGGTCTCCTTGCAGATCATATCTTTGATGGTCTCAAACACCTTCTGATGTGAATCAGTCCAGCTATATATCACATCTTTCTTCACAAGTTCCCGAAGTGGTGCAGTCAGTGAGGCAAGTCTTGGAATGAATGGTGACATGTAGGTCACAATGCCTAGGAACTCTCGGAGTTCTGTCACGTTCTGTGGTGCGTTCAGGGCTGATATGGCTGCTGTCTTCTGTGGGTCTGGTTGCACTCCATCTTTGCTGAAGACAAGGCCATAGAATCTCACTCGGTCTTGCTTGATGTGGCATTTGTTCCAGTTCAGGACGAGTCCATGCTCCTTTGCGACGCGCATCAGATTGTGTAAGTTGGCGTCATGTTCCACTGCCGTCTTTCCTACGACTGCTATGTCATCGGCCATTCCTATGACTCCAGGACATTTCTCTAGTATTTGATTCATTCGTTGCTGGAACACGTCCTGAGAAACGCACAAGCCAAAAGGTAGTCTTTTGAAACGGTAACGACCAAAGGGACTATTGAAGGTCGTCAAATGGCTTGATTCTTCATCTAGCTGTATAGCCCAATATCCATGTCTGGCATCCAGGGTACTGAACACTGTTGCTCCTTCAAACTGGTGTCGGACTTCTTCAATGGTTGGCATCGGCATATGGCTTCTCTTGATTGCCTTATTTAAGTCTTTTGGGTCAAGGCAAATTCTCCATCTTCCATTGGGCTTCTGGGTGTATGCCAAGCTTGATACCCAGTCTGTTGGCTTAGTGACACTTTCTATCACTTCAAGACTCTCCATCTCATCAAGTTCTTTCTTGATGTCATCCTTTATGCCTATCGGGCATCGTCGAACTGCATGTATCACAGGAGCCGCATCTTTGTCGATCACGATGTGGTATTTCCCATCAAATTTTCCGATTCCATCAAATCTATCGGGATACAAAGTCTTCAAATGCTCTCTATCTTTGATGGGACTATCATGGCTCTCCATCAGACTGCAATTCAAGACTACTAATCCTAGATCCAGGCACAACTCAAGTCCAAGGATGGCCGGTCTTTGAGTCTTCACCACAAAGAATTCTGCATCTGCTTGTCTGTCCTGGTGGTTACAGCTCAGCGTATGTAGGCCTACTTGTGGAATAACACTCTTTTCACCATAGCCTGTTATCGTTATCGGTGACTTTCTTAGCTTTCCTGTGATAGGTTCCCCATTAGAGTCCACGCGATCAGGGTACATCTTCTGGTAAATGCGTAATGGAAGAATATTCCCTTCAGATCCTGTATCAACTTTGGCTTTTAGAGTCGCTGGTCCTCTTCCGATCTCAACTCCGATCACAGCGAAGGCTTCGTTCTTTCTGATCTGGTCTACACAGATGGTCTCAAACCGCATGTCGTCAGTTTCTTCTGTTTCTTCCTCTTCTTTCATCTCATGGAGTCTCTTTGATCTCTGTGCTTGCGACCTTTTCGGATATGTCTTTGTAGCTTCTTGTTTCCTTTGCCACTGCTGTTTAGATTCTTGTTCCTGTTTCTTCAGTCGGCAGCATTTCTCCCAGTGATTCATTTTATCACAGTTTCTGCATTTGGTGCCATAAGCAGGGCACTTCCTCGGTGGATGGTTCAGTCCACAGAATGAGCACTGTTTCTTCCTTTGGATATGTTGCTTCGTCATATCAACGTTGACGGCTTGACCATGAAGGAGTCTCATATCCGCCTCAGTTGCCTCCTGGGTTCTGGCGATGTCCAAAGCTGTATTTAACGTCAGTTTCTCATCCTTGGCCAACAATGTTTGCTGTACCTTCTTGCTTGAGGTGCCAATGACGATCTGTTCTATGAGGCGACCTTCAAGTTCAATGTCCGCAAACTTGCATTTTTGTGCTTGTATTTTGCATCTGGCCATGAAGTCGTCTATGGCTTCGGCTGGTTCCTGTGCCAATTTCTGCAGCTGAAATCTTGCCAGACGGAAATTGGTCTTTGGTTCGAAATGTTTTATGAAAGCTTCGAAGACCTCAGCTGGGGTCTTGAAGTCCTTTCCCCAGGATTTGTGAATCCTGATACCCTCTTGACCCAGCCACAACATGATGTATGTACATTTCTCTTGGTCAGACTTCTTGTTAAGCGGCCCTGAAAATATCAACTCACAATAGTATTGAAAATTTCTAAATTCAGTCGGCAAATCTTTGGATGCCCAATCCATGCAGGGTGGGTTGATTCCTGTCATCTCTCCCATGTTGTTTGTTTGTGTGTGTGACTTTGTAACAGCCAATAAAATCTAATATAGCCTAGAAGTCTAAGTCACATAAAAAAAAAAACTACTACTAGTCATATTCAGCCTTATACATAAAGGAGTAAGGTCATATAGTGTGCCTTATCCTAATATACAAATAGGAGTAGGGTTACATTAAAATTCACACCCTATCCTGTGTTATCAATACTGCAATGAGACAAAATATCTATGGCATTCGTTATACTGCATCGCAACAAACATCATCAATAATACAATTCCAAAGCAATTTATTCCTTTGCCAGTCCAACTCTTCCATGTCTCTATTAAATATAAGCCGGCCCTTCAATACCTATCCATGGATTTACTCACATTAAATGATCATGGTCAGGTTGGTGATTCAACCATTCTATTCAAACATGTGCAAATAATGAATTCAGCAAAGCGTCCATTATTTCAAAATGTTGAATCTTGATTAAAATCTAGTGTCTCTCAGTTCAAGTTCATATCTTATTCCACGGAGATCTGTATTCCCAGGTTTCACTCTCATAGGTCTATAGTATGTGGGTGTCGATCGAGGTGTCCAGCTCCAGCGACGTCGTCGATCCTCCCGATGAGCTCCGAGTCCGTGTGGCTCAGTTCCAAACCAAAATGCAGGGCTGGGAGTAGACCTCTATAGCGCCCTAGCTGTACTGTACTGTTCCCGGTCGAGCCTCTAGGCTCTGCTCCTGGCGAGCCTCTAGGCTCTGGTTCTGCCTCCGCATCAAGCTGGTCCTGAATGTAGGGCAAATAATCACTTCTCGATCAGTGCTGTGCTATCGGACGGTAGGCTCACTCGGTCTCAGTTCGTATGGGGTTTAAAATCTCATATTTGCGACTCACCAAATAATCAGTGTCGTTTTCTGCAGTACTCAAACGTCCCTCAAATATATCGCTGACCTGTTCAGAGCTTCACCTTTCTCAGTTCAAAATTCATCTCAGCGGAATATCAGTCCAAAATCGTTGTAGATGAAAACTAACTTGCTCAAATCGCGAAGTTTCCGTCATTCACAATGTAAACAATCGACTCACACTGTTCAGTTCAAAATTCCTCCGCGGTTAGCGCGCGTAATTTTTCGTACGTGCTAGTCAGTTCCATACCGCATATACACACGAGCCAAATTAGCACAGGGGGTCGATGCGCGTAAACGAAATCCCAACCTAGGCCTGGCCGGTAAACGGTGCTTAAATTGTCCATAGAATCCAAATCCGGGCTCCACCTGCACTCAAAATGGTCTAGCAAAGTCCTGGCACCGCTGCCACCATGTAAAGTGTTGTACACTAATTATGATTTATAATAAGAGTCTTCTTGAGGCTGGATTTTGTAGAACTCAAATATGAACAACTTGTTGTATTTATTAGATGTATGTGAAGCCGCATTACAATCTGCGGTAGCAATAATCATGGGCATATGATATAGGTCATTTGTTGAACATACATGTAGATATAAAATGATATCATATCACAGGGGGGGGGGATGAGAGGACTGATCGACACATGTGGTTTCTTTTGCTGCAGCAGTTTTTTTGAGGAAGTTTACCACATGTGAGAATGAGGCTTCAGGGGGAGGGGGTAAGCATCACTGTAGACAGGTGGCCTTTCTAGAGAGGTGGGCACTGTAGAGGGGTTCGGAATGTTACACTTACCACAGAAGAGGAAGAAGAGGATAACCATGATGATTGTGTATCCAAAGTAGAGGACAGTGCTGGCCCAGCCGTGCATGGTCAGTTTGGAGGCAAAGTAGTGAATGCAGTAGATGAAGAAGTAGATGGCAGTGAAACCGCTCGTCACGAAAGAGCGCCACCACCAGTGATAGTTCTTGAACAAAAAAAAAACAAGGCAGCAAACATTTAAAAGCAGATAGGCGACATTAAACTTAGCTGTGGGACACATTCAAATCAGACTGACCATTTCTGATGTATCATTTTTTTTGTTACTAGTTTGCAGGCACAGGCCCTAGTTTGGCATACTAACACAATTCCATAAAGCACTGGCTGTGAAAGCAGCAGCTACTGTACATGGCCTACAGAGGGCAGTAGACAGTGATTTCCTTGTGACCTTTGAACTCATGACCCCAAAAATTAATCAGTTCATTGGCTCTGCAAAATACATACATGACCTACGTTTAGCAGGAATCCATCAATCGGTTCTGGTGATAACGCAATCACGAGAACAGGACGTACAGACGGATATACAACCCGAAAACTTAATGCCTCCGGCTACTTCGTTGCGGAGGCATAAAAATGTGCTTGCAAACTACTTTTTTATATTGACATGTTCTAATTTGACTTCACTATTTACACATTCTGGGAAATAGAAGTCATTGGCTCACAGTACTTATCTCCATAAAGTCTCCACTGAGCATTTTCCCCCTACAAAAAGAGAGAAGGAAAGAGAAAGAGAGAGATAGAAATATGGAAAGACAGAGAAAGAAAAACAGTAAAAAAATAGGGGAAAGTAATAAGAAAGAATAGGAGAGGAAAGAGGGCGACAGAGATAGACAGATAGAGAGAGAATGAAAGAAAGGACCTTACCTCGGCACGTAAATGGAAATAGCAAAGGATAATGGTTGCTTCAGAGCAAGTGATGACCAAGATAATAGCCACCAAGGACAGGAAACCAAACATGTAATAGACTTGGTGGGACCTGGTATTAGAGAAAATAACAAAATAAAGTAACGCATTATGGGTTCAGAGTTTTTATTGGTCTTAAAGGTATTACAAAGTTTTGGTATGGGTTCTTGAATTTGGTTCAAATCAACATTTTGGAAGCATAATTTTAAGCATTTTACAATATTCAATGATCCTTGTCGCGGTTGAAATCGAGTCTAAAGTGATGAAATTGTAAATAATAAACTCTTTACCGGTATGTTGTATATTTCCCACTCAAGACTGATATTACTTTAGCTTTAAAACAATTTTTCTTGACTGCAATCGACTGATTAGCTATTCCGGTTTGGAAATTGCATATTCTGAGATTTTCATGGTTGCAACTACCATGGAATGGCCTTAGGCGAGATTTCAAATATTTGAAACTTACCGGGAGCACCAGTAAATTTTTGATTATTCAATTTCTCGATCTGATCTGAATAAGATATTTTCATTACTCTGTATGATAGAAATTTAAATGTACAAACCATACTATTCACTTGTATGCAGTAATCTCAGTCGTACTTAAAAGAAAGGTTAACATGAAATTCCTCAAACTATCATCTTTATCCCCCATATAGAGCAAAAACGTTCAATCCATGTTACCATGGTAATGGATAACTTACCAGATGCCATTTAGGATGAAGAAAAGTTGTACGAAGATGCATCCAAAGGGCAGGATACCACCCATGATGATACCTGGGAGAGGGCGGGTGCAGCAAGACCGTTTGGGGATATGACGAGGGATCTCATTGGTGGGTAAAGGGAACTCGATGGGCTGTCAACAAATACAAAGGGTTCATATTTAGAATGTCATGAAATGTTAGAAGTACATGCACGCACTTAAAATTTCATCTTGGTCCTTTGATCTCCAGGATGGCTACCTGAGTGCTAAAAGGGATGGCTGTAGAACTGTGTTTGTACCACAGAAGGTTGAGGATGAAGAAGATACAAAAACTTATGAATAAACTGTTCATGTCTTTTTAGGGTAATTTACTTGTCTGCTTCTTGAAGCCAAAGCCAAAGAGGCACCTATTAACTCATATCCTGCCATAAGGCTGCATGCACGCTACCGTTATAGTGCTTTGTACACGTGAGCGCACTATCGATTGGCTGCTTAATTCATGTGAGCGAGCCACAGCTTAGCTGCTTTAAGCATGCATGCATGCATTTGTAATTATAGCAGTTATTGTTCATGCTCATTGTACTCTGCTGAGTGCTTTGCACGTGCTATTCATTGCACCATCAGATTATCAGATTATCTCACAATAAACTTGGCACGGAGGATTTGTGGCTTGGCACAATGGGGATCAGCCCTGTGGTACTGGGCTGTATTGATTATGGCAGGATAAGAGTTAAGACCAGGAGGTATAGAGAGTAAGAAGCAAAAGGGCAAAAGATAGCTACCTCCTAAGGAAAAAGGTCTTTCTAAAACTATGATCACTAACCCGCTTCAAGCCAAAGTAGGCACCGATGAGGACCAAGGGGGTGGAGACGAAGAACCAGAGAGCCAAGATGGCCACCAAGGTGCTGAAGGGGATGGCTGCAGAGCTGTGCTCATACCACAAGATGAGATTGAGGATGAAGAAGATACCGAAGATAATGCCTGGGATGAGGAAACTGGTAGAGAGGACGTTGGACTTCCAGCGCTCACCACCAAATGCTGTAAAATAGGAAATTAATAAATGATAAGAGGGGCGGAACGACATGGCTATCTATCTGGCTGGAAATGCTAGTATTATATAGTTTTAATGAGCAAGTTCACACTTTGCAATTTCTCTAATACCGGTAATCACTTTAATTCAGATAGATTGGCCTTTTCATGGCTAATCATTATATAGTTTAAAAGAGCGAGTTCACACTTTGCACTTTCTTTAAGGAGAATTTATTCAGCTAGAGGGTTGACCTTTTGCTTCTTTCCTTGTATTTTGTCTTTTCTCATTCTTTTCTTGTTGTTGTCCAATTGTTATTATCAATTTGGACTCAGGCATACCAGTTGGGTTTTACAAATTTAGCCTGAAAAGATACCTAGAAATACTGGAGCTGCATAAGTCCTGTACAAATTCAAGCCTGAAAAAAAATATGTAAAGAGAAATGAATAGGCCTAAAATCAGGGAAACCCTGAAAAGAGGCATCCCTGTATTGAAGAGGGCAGAAGGAACTTACTCTTGTATATATTCAAGTTGCTCTAACTGTAATTATTAATCTGAACTTGGGGAAACCTGTTGGTTTAACTCATTTAGCCTGAAAAGATACCTGGAAATATTGTACCTACACATGTTCTGTACAATATCAAGACAGAAAAGTGGCCTCCTTGTGAACTCCACAGAGGGCAGAAGTCACTTACTCTTGTATATTCTGGAGGAGACGTATCCAGCAATGAATCCCAACAGGACATAGAGAACCATGACACAGGTCATCAGAGAACCACGGTTGGCAGGTGACAATAATCCCAGACAAGCTAAACCTAGAGAACAAAAAAAGTTATAAATGTATAACAAAAATGCCATACAAGAAAAAAGTGGTGGACTGCACTTGAAGAACAACTTACATTTATATTCAATGATGGTGAACCAAAGAGAACCATATCTCCTTTTTGCTTTTCATTGTTCTGTAATGAAATCAAACTAGTGTCAATATACTATCTGATAACATATTCTTATTCCTGTTTTTATCACTCAGAAACCTGGATGCTGTAATCCAAAGAGTTGTCTTTCTGGGGCCCTGTTTCATAGAGAGTTGGAATAGATTCAAATCAATCGCAACTCAAAATTAATGCAACTGTGTACTTAAAAGATAGGAGTTGCAATTAATTTCAAATTGCTATCGATTCGTATCTATCGCAACTCTTTAGAAGATGGGGCTTAGAGCTTCGGCAGATTCTCTATGTGCAGAGACTTAATTCAAGTATTACTCAGCATAAAACTTTCAAAGCTGGACCACTGGCAAGATTTGTTATGAAAGTTGCTGGTTTTGCAGTATCACAGTAAGTATATAGTTAAATCAATCTTGATGGACACCTCTTTATAAAGTCCTCAATGTCTTCCTTGAGGAATAAATATGTTGTAAGAGTCTGTCTAGAATAACCACTTAGCCAACCGTTTCATGGGTGGTCTTTGCAGACAGGTTTGACTGGATTATTGTTTTTTGGCAATTTCATGTATACTGCTTTCAATAGCAAGGGACAATCAGTACTTAAAGCTACTGAAATCCTGATTGGCCATGAGTAGATTTGTCATAGATTTGAGGCAGTTGTTCTTGATTATATGTTTTATGACACCTATCCGGACCCTAACTTACCAAGTGTGAGGAAGCTTGTAATGATGATCTGGGCCCCGGTTCCTAGGAAGATGGAGAGGAGCATTCCGCCTTTTGGTGGCCTGAACACATCACCATGGACAACCCTCCAGCCAGACTCTTCCTGGGCCTTTTCCTACAGGGACAGAATATATGATAAAGACTTGTTGACGAACATTGAACAACAAGGGATGGACAGGGTTTGAATCCCTACCACAGCTTTGACGTCCTTGGCAAGAGCAGTGGTCTCCTTATCCGGTGACCCGGGTCCATAACCAAGTCGATGTGCTAGTGCACTTTGGTAAGGCATTAATCCTCATCACCAGGTCCCTCAGAGAGGACCTAAAGCCGTGGGCCGTCTGGTTGCTTACTTACAAGTATTTATGCTTTCTTAGCAGTCAGGTAAAATAACAACCACCACCATTAATGTACGATTGCAACACTCGATCCAGATGTAGGAGTACATGCAGGTACCTGGTGGGCTTAAATTCCTTGAACGCACTGAGCACAATAATTGTGGGAACTACATGCAAAGCAATGCAATGATATCCAAAGCCCTTTAGAAGCGCATAGAGGTGTTATATCATAATGTGATATAAGCTATAATATACAAGAATGGATTATTATTATTATTATCATTAATCTTGCAAGCCGGATGTACATCGATCTCATGGACTATCCATTTTTTATAGAGAAAAATCATAATAAAAGAAAAAAATAAAATTTAGGAAAAAGTCAGGGAAAAACAAATACATTGGTAAACAGCTTTAAATCAGGAAATAATCAGGCTCGATTTTACTACACAGACAGTGAGTACGAGTATGGGACTTTTATTGAATGCAGCTACATTTTTCCATCCCCACACACCATTCCTTTGCATGTAAACGAAAAAGATGCAGTGATTTCCTGCATCATGTGTGAAAAAGCGCTAACTCTTATTCTACCAAAATGAATACAGCACAGGGCTAATCCCCATAGTGCCAAGCCACAAATCCCTCCTGTGCCAAGTTCATTTTGAGATAATCTGATGGTGCGATCAATAGCGCATGCGTAGCACTCAGCACAGTACAGTAATAATCAAGAACAATAACTGCTATTACGAATGCGAGCATGCATGCATAAAGCAGCTAAGCTGTGGCTCACTCGCGTGAATTAAGCAGCCAATCGATAGCGCGCTCGCATGTACAAAGCACAATCACGGTAGCGTGCATGCGGCCTTATGGCAGGATATGACTTAATAGTTGGACTCATTGGCTAGTAATCCTATGAGTGGACTAAGTTTAGACAGTTTAAACTTAGTTGGTGCAACTTTGTTTAACCAATTTCAACTTACTTGGCTCCACTTCATTTGTTCCACTTGGCTTAATCATTCATTGAGACGCGAGTGTCAAACCCTTTATTCTGGTCCAATTACTTTTATTCTGTAACAAAATGATTCAATGAAATACATCTTGTCCTGACATATAAATCACAATTCAAACCACAGTGGCATGATTTTGGTTTACTTTGTTACAGAATAAACAGTACTCTTTCCATTTGCAGCCTTTAAAGGGAGACGTCAAGACTAAAATTAATATTTAGCCTGAAAATTGACATCATCATGGTTATGTATCGGACACATCCATCTTGGTTCTGCCTAGTTTTAATGATTCAACCAAACTTACCAGATCCTGTTGATTGTAACGAGAGATATCCTTGTACAGTTTCCTCAGCAGGATCAATAACATACCAGACAAGAACAGGATGACAACCAGGGAGTTCAGAATACTGTAAGGTATGAGAAACAGAATGGTTTAAACAAATGGTACTGGGAAGATGTCTTTGAGCATGTCTTTGTGGATCTTATGGCAGATTAGCCCTGCTAAACAAATTATCCAATGAAGTCTACTACTACTAGTGTCCTCTGCATGATTGTGGCTACCAAACCAGATGGTTACAGGACAATTACCAGGCAGTTCAGTCTTTAATAGGATAGTATCCTCAGCATGATCATAGGTACCAAACCAGGGGGAAGGGAGCGTTTCACAAAACTTGTCATCAGTGACAAATGACAATTTTTGTTATAAGCTACTGAAATCCTTGCTTCTGATTGGTTATCAGCAGATCTGTCATTGAAAAAAGGCTTTGTGAAATGGGTCCCAGATGGGAACAGAGCAATCACCAGGGATTTTATATGTATAATTTGTTTATTTGGATAAAACATAAGAATTCAACCGAGCACTACTGGGGAAAGGTAGCAGCCAACGTTATGCACACATGTTAGTCTTGTACTCTCCTATTCATTTGAAAATGCTCACTTTAAAGGCCCACTGCACTACTTGTAGCTACTTGCACCCTCTATATAACAAACAATGCCTAATCGGTGACCATTGGTCCCCCATGATCCACTTTTTCTTATGTTAACTGAGAGCTGAGTTGATGAGATAACCACCTGTCCAGTGACCTTGCAGGGCACTCTAATCCCTCCTATAAACTACGGCAGATAAGCTTTAATAGGTAACTATTAGTGGCATGTAAAGATGCGTTCAGAAAGCAAAACTATGCATTGTTATCTTACCTGAACCATTGGATGTTGGTGTGTGGCATGGAATCTAGGATGTAATCCCAACGTGATGCCCAATACACATTGGGGCTTGGCTGCATAAAAGCAAGAGAGAACGATTCTGAGGAGTTCTCTGTAGTAGCAATTTAACTGTAACTAATCATTAAAGTCTTTAATTGGCAACACGGTGTGAAATATAAATGTAATATTTCGTGTAGGAAATTGGCAATTTTTTGGGGATCGATTTTGCATACATTGGTTCATTTAATAAACAATTTTTATTTTTTGCGTTGGTGATAGGTATACACTTTAATGCAATGGTTAAGTTCTGGAAAAGATGGACCCCCAAAAAGGTGACATTTTCATTCTTGTAATGTAAGTGCAGAAGAGTATCATAGACAAAATATTCCCTGAAAAAAGATGGCTCCTCAAGTGCCCTCATATTCAAATTATGGCAAGTATAAACAGCTAAAGGTTCAGGACCACAGCATTCATGCCACCTTTTTGTGTAGTCCCATATACACGTTTCTTTGTACGGTGCATGCGACTCTTAGCTGGACTGATCCAATTTCTTATCATTTTGATGAATCCAAAACCTCACAGTATACACCAATAACTATATATGCAACATGATCAACCTTTCCAATCGCTTCCACTCAGTTTCTTTCACAGTGCTATTGCAAGACCAAAGTGTTATCTTGCAACAAATCCAATTTGGGTACTTACTATAAAGTGTACTGAGTAGGAATACGTGATGTCCAGGTCTTTGTTCAAGTCTGATTTTTGGAGTGACATGGGCTCATAATTCAAGCTATTAAGGAAGACGCACTCATCTGGTGTCTTGTGTTTCATACTGGTGAGAGAAAAGGCACAACATTTTTATAACATGCTACAAAATCCTATGAGCTAAATATATATTAAAGTAGCTTGGCGAAGAAATTTCACATAATCACTAAAAATGGGCAAATTATACATGTCAAGATAGCGTAGACCAATATGAAGACACACATTCTGCTCTAAAGTCTTGTGAATATAAATGAAACACGGTAAGAAGCTTTTTCCAAGAACCTTCTCAGAACTTCAATTCCTGGCTTGAACATTTTGTTCGCGCAGTAGGCCGATTATGACGTCCCTGGTTGGGCACGATCGCAATTCCAGGCCTCAAGCTCGCATGTGGTATTTTGCATAGCTATACGTATACATTATCCAGACTTTGCATGCTTCATATCCTGACCAGAAAGTGGAATAACAATCTCTAGAAATCATGTAATTACATATAATATTAAGCAAATTTATGTAATATAATAAGAGGGATGAATCGTGCAATTCGATTTGTCCAAATACCCTTCCGTTCTGTGTAATTTGCTGAGATGTTTTGTATTTGTTCGGTCATCATGCCTTGGCGTGATAGTGATTGCTGTTGATTATATACGGAGACCAGGATGAGTGAATCGCGAGCGTCCTTTTGCATTTGTATGATGTCCTGCAGCTGCAGTTCTATTTATGAATGGTGCATATATGTAATTGATTTTTGCCAAATATAATCTCACATCTAATCATCTTTGTTTTATTATCTGTGAAATTTGCCAAAAAGCCCCACACATCCCGAAAAATTAGAAAATGTCTCGCCCAGTCATGACAGATCGATCGCCAGTTGAGCGGGGCCGGGGGAGCTGAGCGGCAGCTGGCAGCTCAGCCAGCTCGCGCTGATATGCTATCACTTGACCTGCACCAGCATCGACGCCGTCTTCTCCGAATTGTTCTCTTTCTTCCATCTCTCCTAGCTACATCCCCATCATCATCATCATCACTATCACTACCAGTACCACTGTTGTGGAGCTGTGCTCATCAACTTCAAATTCTAAATCGAGTAAAACCTCTTCTTCGAGCTCGGACATTTTGATCAGATATTTAGCGTTCGAGTGGCGTTTGTGTACGTATAATGCATGCAGGCGAGAGTTGTGTGAGAGCTTGAGGATCGCACTCTTGCTCATGTGCCCAACCTCCTACGTCACAAATCGTATGTCACAATAGCGGGCCGATCAAGGGCGGAATAATCGGGTAGTAATTTCACCACTTTTAAAAGCAGATAAGTCAAATCTGTAACAATCTTTGAAAACTAAATATGAACTATTAGAAAGATAGTAACATTAACTTTACAATGATACCAACATTATTAAGGTTAAAAGCCTTTTGAAACCTTCACTCAGCTACTTTAAGACATTTTAAGAGTAAGAAAATGGGTAAACAGATACTTTAAGCAATTAGAGCATTCTGTAAATGGATTTCACAATATACAAGTAAATAAATGCCTAATATTGCAATTTATGTGGAAAATGGGATAGAAATGTGCAGAGTTAAAAAATATAGCTTTTAATAGTCCTAGATACTGGATGTCTTTAGTCAACCATTACATGAAATGGAACTTGATGTGCAAACAATAATATTATCTTTGACAAATCTAATATTATCTGAACATGAAAGCCATTTACAGGGCTCTCACTTAACTTTTTTTCTTGGTTGCAAGCCAGGCATCCTATACAGCTTTTCAGGTTGCCCAATGGCAGTTTAGGTGGTCACAGTGAAAAGGTTTGGTTTAAAGAGGTTTGTGTAATGCCTAAAAATTCACCTTCCCGTATTTCCCTTATTTTGGCTTCAAAGCTCATGAAAATTTCACAGCACATACAAAATGATAATATTATTCTTCAAATAAATTTAAACTCTGTGCTTACCTGAGTGGTTCAAGCTTGGCAGAAACAAGAAGGTTGGTGTCATCAATAAGCGGCTGGTAGAAGATGGTGATGTTGATATGGTTGAAGACGTAGTAGTGTTGTGCCCTCTCGTAATGGGCCTGGTAACGTAATAAGGAGAAGGCCACACATTTGTGCATGCATGTAATAGGAATGATTACAATAATAACAAATGATGAAGATTAAAGGGATCGTTTATAACAATGTTAAATCTGAGATACATGGCCCTACGTGTTATCAGTGTCTGTGATATGGTGTAATATTGAAGCCCTAAAAATAATTGTGCTTCAAGCCTTCAAAATGATCAAGAAGTGCCTAAAAAAAGTTAAAATCTTGGAGTAACCGGTTTTATCATACTCGTTTTCCCAAATTGACTGTAGTGTTATGAAAACCGTTAGACAAATGCAAAATTTGGTTTCGATTTCCAATCATAATTATCTTGATAATTAGACAGGCGATCGGCTTGTAAAAGTCATGGGGTTCCTGACTGACCTAAAGGTTTATAATTATCATTGCAGCATGAGCTACATCAAGCATTTTGTTTCAGAATCTGAGACAAAAAGGAAGAAAAAATGTAGAAAGAAAAAAAGTAGAAAGAAAAAAAAGTAGAAAAAAAAAATGAAGAGTAGGAAAAAGAAAAAGAAGAGAAAAAGGAATAAATAAGATGAAGAGGATAAGGAGAATGAAGAATAGGGGATGAAGTTAGAAGAAGGAAGAGAAGGAAAAAGAAAAGAGGGAGAAGAAGAAGAGTAAGAACCGGGGTGTTGGCTCAGTCAGTAGAGCGTCCGCCTCACAACGGGAGGTCGTGGGTTTGAACCCTGGCCGCGTCATACCAAAAGACGTTAAAAGATGGGAGTTGTTGCTACCTTGTTTGGCGTTCAACAATATCTGGCGCTGCTCAGTGGCTGCCGGGCTCATGATCAATTGGGCAAAAAGAATTTCCGTTTCGGTTTAATACAATTTGGAGTGGACTTTTAGGCTATTATTATTATTATTAGAAGAAGAAGAAGAGTGAGAAGAAGTATAAGAAGAAAGAATAATGACAATAAGATGAAATAATTAATAGAAAGCACATGGAGTCATCAAAGTGATAAGAAATTTGACCCAGTCTTGGTAAAGTTACAAGCACTGTACACAGAAAGATGTATATGGGACTACGCAACACGTGTGCGATATCTATCCGGTCCAAATAGGTATAATAATTTACAAAATGTATCGATTAGTAGGCTTCTCGGCAAAATTTGTATCATCACGTATTAGTCAAAACATATTCTTTCACATGTTTGGTAATAAGAGCTTCCGTTTCATTTTTTAAGAGGGGGGCGTTTCCAAAACTGGTCTTTACCTTTAAATTGTAGATCACACTGCTTTCCAATAAGCCATATCGCTTTCTTCAGCTTAAACAAAATCATCTGTAAACAATAATCAAGTCGGTCTATGCACTTCATATTTTTAAATAAAAACATGTTACATACTGAGAAAAGAAAGAAAGAAAAAGACTTACATCAATGACACAAGCGTCCTTGCGGTTGCCATCTTTATCTACATAACATCCAATGGGAAAACCTGGAGAGCAATATCTTGAGCCAATTAGTACCTCATAACACCACGACACTGGCATGTTGTCAATAATCCTGCAAAGGTGAATAGAACAGAAATGAATAAAATAAAAATAAAAATAACTGTCTGTACAATGTATCTCACCTCTTGTAGGTACATGCATACCAGGTACTAAAACGAGGCAAATTTCAATTTACATGTGCTAGCACTATTAAACATCCTCTTTAAACATTTATCAAATCAGGGGGGTTTCACAAAGATCCTAAGTAGAACTTAACACTAAGTGGGACATAAAAATTATGGACAGCCATTGGAGCCTTAAAATGAAATATATTCAAAAGCAGAAATTCAAGTATTTTAGACTTTTTATAAATTCCACATCCAGAACATGAAATCTCCTTGATGATAGAAAATATGAATGATTTGAATCAACATTTTATGCCTTTTAAAATAACTTTTACAAAATATTTTCAAAGATGCTAATGGCTTTCCATAATTTTTAAGTCCAACTTAGAGTTAAGTTCTACTTAGGATCTTTGTGAAACACCCAACTGGTTGGTAAATTAGTAGTACACTCTATTTTCTCTATTTCTTGATCATTCCAAAAAGTTTCTTTCGCAATTTAATCGTTCGACCAGTACTCAATTCTATCTACATGTATATTGGAAAACTTACCAGTGGTGTTGGTAGTTCAGCTGAATGCCTCGAAGCAAGAAATTGAGCTTGTGCTTCATCTCTGCCTTTTCTGCCTCTTCACCTCCAGCCTTGTAGCTCTTAGTGCAGACCTTCTTACACGTGTTGTTTTTACCAAAGGTGAAGTTATACGGTGAGGAGGTGATACGCTCCCCAAAGACCACCTGACCCAGGTTCTCCGATGGGGAGTACTCTTGCTGGCTCTGGCAGAAGTCATATCTGTTGATAAGATTATTGTGCAGCATAAATAGAAGTTTGGGGCACATCAAACAAAAAGGTTTTGCAATTTGCAAGTTAACAGGTGTGGAGTTGTACATGTTATGCTTACCGGTAGATATAAATGTGATTTGAATACAAGTAGGTAAGGACATAACACTTAGCCAAGCCCAATGCTACATGTACATGTACAGATGTATGTAAAATACTGGCTTACCGGTAATATGTGTACTGAATTGAATACACGACCCATGATGTATATCTGGCTTGCTGTAAGGGCCCTCTAACAAATTGAGGCCATTCTAACCACATGATATTATTACTATTTTGCGTTTGCTTCTGTACCCCACTGATAGAAACAAAGGAGCTGCATCTGGGTTCCGTAACATGTACATGAGCATCTATTTGCTCTTCAGAGCCAAACACCCTTCTTATCTAGATGAAAACAGACCCAGAATAGTATTAAAGGGAAATCCAACCCAAATAGACAACTACTCTAAAAGAAAGCAGACAGATCAGAGAAGCACTGATGAAAGTTTCAATTAAATCTGACTTAATATAAGAAAGCTATGAATTTTTAAAAGTTGTAATCACTACCGGTATACGTATGGGCACTTCAAATTGGCTGAAGGGGTAATGTCAATGTGATGTTATGTAGTGCTGGGCTACTTTCCCGTCTATTCCAACATATAAAATGACTAAAATTTAAATTTTTCTAAAAATCATGGCTCATCAGGAGGATCTATTCTTTTTAGAGGACCTTTAATAATATATTTTGACTAGTGCCCTAAGGGAGAAGGAAAGTATGAGAAAAACAGAAATAAGTCAGTGATATTTTTGTACACAGCAAATGGAAGAGTTTTTCACATCCGACGTCACAATAGACTGACCAAACTACCAATTTGAGATCCGCATAGACTTGGTGTTCTCATATTGCAAACATTCATAACTTCCAGTTTATTATTGGTCCGCTTCATTTGAAACTTTTTCCATTCTGTTTTCTGCTTTCAATACAAAAGAACTTATTACAAGGGTTGGATTGCCCTTTAACTCTCTGTTAAAGTTCAGTACCCTTCTGGCTCATAACAAACAGTGTATGTGTAGTACATTTGCTGGCGGCAAAATGAATACCAGTAATGATCAGATACACGAAATACCGGTAGGCAATTAAATACACCTGCATGTTCCGAAGCCACATATTTAGTACTGGTAGTCTGGTACCTGTACAGTGTAGAAAACCTGCCCAAAGAAATCAACTATTTCATGTACTAGGTAAATAATTATATGCAGATACAAAATCATACCAGTATGTACCGGTACCTGACTGTGCAAGCAATAAGGTTGAAATTAAAGTGGGCATACACACAGATGCATTTTCAACTACAGGTGTAGTTTGTTTATAAATACAATGAGGGGCCAGTGGAATCACATGTATCCGTAGCAACCCACAGCACCAAGCACATCCATACTAACCTGTCATAATCATAAGGGATGACAGTTTCCACAGAGTCTAACCGGTTGACAAACATATTAATGTCACTCTAAAAAGAAAAAGAAATGAAAGACAAAACGATGGAAGATTTTACTTCATTTACGTGTATCTACACATATTTTTATGCACTTCTTCTTCTACATTAAATGAGTAATACAAAATTCCTAGTTAAAAAGAAGTATGAATATTTATCATACATGAGCGTTGACAAAATAAGCAAAGCTTGATACATTACAGTTACTCAGCCACGATTCATTTGCCGAGTTAGACTAGATCCATGTATTTCAGTGTACCTAATCTTCTAATCATAGAGGGTGGGATGGCTACAAATTTCACACTTTCCCTTTTCAACGACTTTTCTTGCTGTCTGTCTTTCACTTTCAGTAAAAAAAAATGTGGTCAAGACGCTCATATTCAACAATAATCAAAGCGCGCAACCTGGAAAAAGTTGCTCTGGTTAAATTACGAGTAAATTACAAAGTTGCATGCTTACTTTTAATTTAAGATGGCGCCCATGCATGTCAATATGTGAGCGCACAGCGCAGGCAGTGACGCAACAATACATGCGCATCTAAAAACATAGATGACGCAATGTTTATGCGCAAATTAAAATGGCGGCCTTAACAGTGAAAGGGTGTATTGACTGGCAAGCCAATAACCTATAACTTTTTCACTGGAAGAAGGAGCAATATAATTCACCCTTCTCCAGAGACACCAAGTTCAAAGATCGGCAATGCGTGACATTTTCATGATTCGGCGCGCGTGTGCGAGGGTATAACACACGTATAAGGTATAGCGTTTTTTCAAAATCTAGCGCGTGCGTTGTGCGTAAGAGCATTTTCAGACCCTCAAAATGCGTGATGTCACGCCTAATGCGTGATACTTGGTAGCTCTGCTTCTCCCTGTAGACACTCCAATTATGACATTCCTGATATGACCCAGCAAGAAAGATACAGATGTAAAGTGACTATGGTGCAAGACCTGGAAGCTGGGACATCCCCCCTTAAAGTTAGACTTGGAAGCTCGACAGCTGGAGATGGCTTTCTTCCAGAAGCTTAGGTATTCAAGGTATTCAGGTATTCAAGGTTACATTTTACATGTCAATGAAAATGAAGTTGACTATATAATTAAACAAAATGTAAACTCTTCTTTGGATTATTTAGGAGGAATTAAATTCAAGATCCAAGATAGGTCTATGTCTAGTTAATACTATAAAATATACTACTAGCCATATGTGACAGTTGACATGGTTAAATGTACTTTAGAGTTTAGTGTTGCTAATAATAATATGGTCAATTCTGAAGTCATTTCTGTTTCACATTCTACAAAATTATACAAATACAATTTTTTTTTTTACAAGATCTAATTTTCTCCTAAAAATCAATTATAAATAACTAGACCCTAGATCTATCAATCTCAGACAAATGTAGCCTTGATTCTACAAGTTGATAGGCGGTCTAGCTAGGCCTACAATGTACATGTAGATCTAAGTAAGTTGACAATAAAGGAGATGTCACCCTCCCTGGTTGACTGCATGTAGACTGCATTGTAATATATCAGTCACGTCCTTCATATCATAATCACCTTGCAAAGTGAACGGTGTTCTGCTTCGTGGTATTTTTGAACTGCCGGAGTGCAAAAGCTAACCGGCGCATGTAGTGGAAAATAAAATGCTTCAACAACATGGGTAGCCAGAATGAAGCAGCAGACCAGTAAGATTGATATTTTTCTCGTCATGGTGAATTGTGATTTCAAAATTCCGAACGAGAAGCCGCAAATAAGCTTGTGGAAAGATTCCTTTTGATGCGACGTGTAGATAATGTAAATATTGATAACACTTCCTGACTAATAGTCTTTCTTTAAGTCACTTTGGTTTTTTTATCATTGTCATCATTTTTTTTTTGCATTGTAAATGTGTAATGACCTAATGTAATGCTCTCCTGTGACATTTGAAGAAAAAAAACGAATAAATATCTTATCTTATTTTTAAAATCTTATATTATCTTATCTTATAGTAATAGTAAGAGCCCTAACTTATAACTGGTCATAACATGTAAGTCTAACATCTTGTGGTAAGCTACTTACTTGTCACGTCCGCGCGCTACGTAAAAAGGGGAAATCCCCGCACGTGCACCATGCAATGTGGCCAATGTACGTGGAGATCAGTGGTGGTGGAGAGTATTATATCCGTACTAAGAGATTATGTACCATGCACTGATCTCTACGGAAAAATCCGTTTTTTCCGTAGAGATCAGTGTTATGTACACGGTCCTCTTTCACGAAGCCCTCTTTGCCAAGATCAAGGACAACATCCGGACTATAAAAAGTATATGACGTTAAAAAAAAACTTGTCATATCTCTATCATAACTTCTACTGTGTTCAAACACCCCCCCCCCCCCCCCCCCCGCTTATTCACCGGCTGGCTGATTCGCCGCTAAATATTTTTTCACGAATTGGGCGAGAAAATAAAAATAATGATCTTCATAATTTATGGCCGTACAGGGGATTTTTATATGTTGGGGACCGGGGTAAACTGCAATGAATTATTGATAATTTATTGCATTTCTTTGTTTTTTTTATTTATTTGTGGGAACTGCCCCCTACCCGAACCCCCCTATATGCGTACAGTCATGGTTCAGTGGCAAAGCAATGGCCTCGTAACTACTGTGAGGCCCCAGGATCAAAACCGTGTCGATGTGCCATATCAGTGCCCCTTTTCTGGGGCATAAATGCTAGTTGATAAGCATAGTAGCATACACATGCTTTAGCAGTCACGCAAAACACACACTGGCACATTATTATTCAATAAAATCTGAGCATACTATCTAGATCTATTAGGAATAAATCATTGTCAAAATAATTCCAAAAATTGGGCCGGGTAAAAAAAAAGATATTCCATCTTTATGAGCAACAGTGTAGGCCTACATGCAAATGCTCCATTTATCCATCCTTTTTTTCAAAATTGATAACTTCGTTGGGTTATGATAATTTTTGTAGGTTAAATTCTCAGAATTTTTTGGCGTGGAAAAAGACTCTTTCCCACATCTCCATGCATCTCGGATATAAACAACGATATTCTTTCAAAAGGAAAAAAGTTTTGCATTATAAATCGTCTGGAAACCCGATTTCAATACACCAAACGTGTCCTCAATACATTATACACAAAAATGTAGACTAAGATTTGGGTAAACTAACATTTTATTGAAATCAAGTCAATAACTTTCGGTTGCTACATCTTTTCAATAAAATGCAATATAATTATAAACCTCTTCTCTTCACAAAATGTAGTCCTTTGTCGTAAATGGGCAAACTCTTGGAGAGTTACAAAATAAACACTTTTTTCTTCGATTTTGATATTTGAAAATTATGTTAATTGATAAAATTCAATTTTTGAAGAAAAAAAATATTAAAAAAAAAAAATAATAATAATAATAATAACAGTGGCGGATCTAGGGGAAGGGGGACACAGGGGACATGTGCCCCCTGGTCCCCCCCAAAAAATAGTGCTCACTACCCCTTCCGATTTAGGGGTGACCGGTTTAAGTAAAAAAAAAAAACACCTCCGAAATGTTGTGTATCATTTTTTGAATTAACAAGGTGTGCTTAAATTATTTTGTGAATTGCAACCGAAACCCTCTTTTCTGACTTTGGCCCTCCTCTTACATTGACAAAATGCAACTTTGAGAAAGTATCTTTACAAAAAAAAAATCAATATTTTACCGGTTGTATCCGAATGTCAAGAAAACTAAGTCAATGATTTTTGGTAAAACAAAGAATAAGCCTAAAATATGTTTGAAACTCGATGGACATATCATTGAGCAAGTCAGTAATTACATCTACTTAGGACATAATATCACAGATGATGCCAGATGCGAAGCAGAAATAAAAAGAAAAATAGAAATTGCTCGGAATACATTTCTGGCAATGAAAGGATTATTCACAAATAAAAAGGTGAAATTTGCGCTTAGGTTGAGACTAGTATGGTCTGTCCTATTGTATGGAGCAGAAACATGGACAATACACAAGGCCATAGGAAATAGAATACATCTTTTGAAATGTGGATCTACAGAAGAATGATGAAAATATCCTGGAAACGAATGAAAACCAACAAAGAGATATTGCACATGGCGGGGCGTATGAACAAATTGCACTAGTAGGATTGAAAAATCAAATACTTTGGTCATGTTAAAAGGCACCAAAGCCTCTTAAAGGATGTATTGGAAGGAAGAGTGGAAGGAATTAAGTAGACCTATAGAGGGAGACCCAGAATCAAATTTCATTTATCATTTGTTTTGCAATCTTCTCAAAAGGAACACAATTTAGGGGATTTCGTTTTCCTAACAAAATAATTAATTCAGTTTCATAACATCGACTTGTAATTTGCACCTCAAGAAAGAAAATTACATTTTTTAATAAATAAAAAAGAAGAAGAATGAATTGTACTAAGCACTTGAGTTATTAAAGTCAGATGTTAACAAATTGCTTTCCTTTACCGTATTTTTTATTTATTATTATTATTATTAATATTTTTTTTGTTGGGGGGGGGGGGGCAAATGTTGGTCAAAGAAGGGCACTCTGTGTGTGTGTGTGTGTGTGTGTGTGTGTGTGTGTGTTTTCAGGAGATCCAATACCCCCTTCGAAGTTGAATTTTTGCCAGTTCTTACATTTATATGATGTACAGCCATAAGTGTTCCTTATGACGCTGTTTAATGGACTTTTGAAAGAGTGGGGGGTAGGGGGGCGGGGGAGGATTGTGACGTGAAAGACCGCATTTTCTTTTCTAATTGCAAACAGCGCATGCGCCTTACACCAACACAACATTATTACTCCGATATAAAGCCTTCATTCCGACTCAAATCTCCCTTTCAGAGGTATAGCTCACCGGTGATGATCATAACTAATTCTCCTCCAGGCTTACAACTATAGATGAGGATCAACACTGAATTAATTGTTCACCAATCTTTTGATATTCCCAATAACTTTGAGAGTCGCATGCATGATTGTGTGAAGAATCATCGATCGGCTCGAGAAAGCGATGAAAAGTATGCATCGCCGCTAAATTCAAAGTCTTTCAAACGTTGCTTTTATTGAGAAAAAACTCCGGCAAATCTGGAAGAGAAACATCAGACGATTAATCCCTTTTCAGGACAGTTCTTCTGCTGCTGAGAGGAGAAAGGGGAGTAATCATGCCTTATTTCCCTTCAGTAAGACTTCAGGTTGCCATCAGCTGTTTCTTATGTGTTTTATTCCGAAGAGAAACGCTTGCAGGTAAGTCAAAAATGTTTTTCCATCTTTCTCGATCGCATGGTTGTAAGATAAAACTTCGATTGGCTCGAGGATGTGAGAAAGCTTTTCCTGTTAAATTTAAAAGTATTTCAAACGTAGCTTATATTAAACATATAGATATTTAAGAAGAAATAGATATCAAACGGAGGAATCCTATTTTAGTAGAAGAGGATGGGGAAGAAATATGAATAATGCCTCTTTTTATATGAGTAAGAATGTAGCATTGCCATCGGCTGTTTATTATGTGATCTATTTCGAAGAGAAACACAATCGGGTAAAGCCATAAATTGTTTTTACTAACTTTTAACTGACAATGATCTAGATGATTATTCAAACGGATGTGACGAGTTATTTCATAGAAATAATAATAATAATAATAATCATATCACATTTATAAAGCGCCTTCTCATTAGATAGATAGATAGATAAATGGTATTTATTGATTCATTTCCATGTATCGCAGTTACAAGTAACTGAATTGTGCATGAATAAAACATTGATGGTGAAGACAATTATGCATTTCAAGTGATATCACAGTAAAAAGTAACTGAATTGCACATGAGTAAATTGCTGAAAAAAAGCAAGTATACATTTCAAGATGTCACACTACAATCTACATAATTATGAAGATCGTGTATATACTATATACCATTAATCTTTTACAATATTTCAATTTAAAAATTTGAGTTAAAAAGAAAGAGAGATGGGAAAGCAGGAGAGAGAGAAAGAAAGAGAAAGAGAGAAAGAGAAAGAGAAAGAGAGAGAGAGAGAGAGAGAGAGGGGAGAAAGGGGACAGATGGACAGAGAGGGAAAACAATTATGTACATGTTGATAAAATACAAAGATACATTGCAAGACAAATATGAATATATTATAAGGTGAACATTAGAGATATTAAGATATAAATATAGATATGCATCGCATTCTTCATGTCATAAAAAATACATTGACTAACTTGACTAAAAAAATCAGACCTCAAATTTATGAATTAATTATATACTAAGGAATATGAAATTGTAATTTGTGTCAGAGTATATTAAATACAATCATAAAAAACTTTTGTTATACAAACGGATCAAATCTGGGATTGGGCTATTCTGCATACGTTTAGTTTTGCACCTGGGTTCAGGGATCTTGTTAGTTCTTCGCAAAGTTCTATTGTGTGCTCGTTGGGGTATAAATTGTTTGAACTGGTCTGTGCATAAAAGAGTTTTTTTAAAGAAGGTAACACATAAGTCATTTCGACGACTTTCCAATGTTTGTAATTTCGATTTAGTAAGAGCGTTTGCGTAACTATGATAATCCTTTCCAAAGATAATCCTCAATGCACGTTTTTGTAATCTTTCTATGCGTTGTTTTTGTGCACTAGTGAGACCTCCGCTCCAAACTTGAGTAGCATATTCAAGGATTGGGCGAATATAGCCAATGAAAATAGTAATCAGATCTTCATGTGAAAGACCGAATTTCCCCAAAGAATGGAGCATATATAGTTTCGCATTCGCTCTTTTTCAATATCTCTGACATGGGCTTCCCACTTCAAGTCGTTTT